CCTCATGGAAGCTACCAGAATTGGAATCACTATTGCCACCTCCAGGAAGCCAAGCAGCTTCTTCTCTAAATTGGCAAGGGGAGTAGGGGCATGACCCATGATTTCCCTCATGCCTGTATTTTTCAATTTTTTACTTTTTGGTCACCTCACCCTGACCCCACTCTCGTTTGGGAAGTCTGGGGGTATAAATCAAAGGGCTCTGGGAACTCTTTCAGCACCTTCCACCTTGAGTGACTGGACCCGCAATCTTGGCCTAATACAGCCACCAACCCTGAGATTCCAAGTCCTCACAGGTCCATGACTGGTACAATTAGCTGTCAGTGCATGTGTGGGAGGATGGCATACAGGGTGCCAAATGGTCCTTAGAACTGCCTCTCATAGAAGCCAGGGGTATTTGCTACTTGGCTCAGTAAATTTTTTCTATCCATTTCAAGTCTGGGCCCAGGGAAGACCATTCCAGGTATCAACTGAAGCACACTGAAATTTGTTTTCTGGAAACCACATCCTAAATTCCCTGGCCTCCAGGCCCTGCCTAGGTTGCTTGTGAAGTAAGGTCCTGTGTCAGATCAAAGTAGCCAAGTTGCATTTATGTATGTACTTATATATCTATACTTCTAGCTGCAGCTATTGTGGGGATCAAAACTGCCCTGGTTTGAAGCAGATTGTTAAAGTTCCACTTTACTGCTGGTCCCTCAGCACATGTCAAGATTGCGGGTCCAGTCACTCAAGGTGGAAGGTGCTGAAAGAGTTCCCAGAGCCCTTTGATTTATACCCCCAGACTTCCCAGACTATGCCACAGACATCCAGAGGCACTAAGCCTGAGAATTACTCTAGGACTCAGCTAGGAGAACACTCCTGCTTCTTCCCAGGAGGGCCCCTTTTGAATCACGGGCTGGCTGATGTTGGCTGGCACAATCTGTACCGCATCTTCCAGAGAGTCCTTAAAGAATCTGGGCACACTGTTCTCTCCCTGTTCTCTACAACTAAAAACATCTATCTTCCCTTGCCTGGCGCTGTCTTGGTTTTGTCATGGAAAGTCTCCCATCCCAGGAAACCTATAAGACCTGGGCAACCTGGACCCTAAATAACACAGCATCAAATATAACTCTGTGTGTGTGTGTGTGTGTGTGTGTGTGTGTATTTGGGCATTATATATATGCATATGTCTGTGATATGTATATATTAAAATGAAAGCTATCAAAAATACTTTTGGGATTCTAGTGGGAGACTAACATATTTTCTATAATCTTTGACAGATCACTTATTACAAAGGAAATTTAAAAACAGATTTGAACAATAAACACAATAAACTTGTTTCAATCCATACATCAAACATCACACTCTACAGAGAATAGATTTTCTTTTCACCTCATTCAATAACATCGGCAAACCTTTCCTATGTACTTTACCTTGGAAGATAGGCAAAGAGGAATCTTGGCCAGAAGCTTGCCATTCCACAGGTGCTCTTTGAGTCTGGGGGACTTTGCTGTTGTTGAAGACAGAGGCAGGTTTCAGTACTACTGCCTTAAAACTTTTTCAGGCTAAGACTATGGCAGTAAAAGTATATTGAGTCAAATATTGGGGCTGCAATCTCTGTTTCAGAGATTCAAAATTCTGTATCAAGAATCTTGGATGTGTCCTTGTACACAATTCAAAATGCAAAAGTATACAGAAATCCCTTTTGAAGAAAAAAAATTTTCATGGACCCAGGGCTGACCTAAGTCACTTTTATTAAAATGTAACTTACATTTCATACTCTCATAAAGACCAATTCTAAACACCTATGCATTATAGCATTTATATAAATATATAAACTAAAATACCAAAACAAATGCACCATAAATACAATGATCAAACTTTAAAATGGCAAATTAATAAAATTAATTTACTGTAACAGATAATACTGTTTTGCTGAACTTAAAACACCATTTTGAGTTTAATGATAGAGATAGCCTCAGGTTTAGTTACTACATGTTATCATTGTATGAATTTTTACTTCAACAATACTAATGCAGACAACTCATAAAGCATGTGTGCAAAACAATTTCATAAACTCGAAAATGTATACAATCATCAAATCACTGTTGTACACTTGAAATCAATATATTAATATCAACTATACTTCAATTTTAAAAAGTTTTTTAGATTTCTGAAAACTAAATAACTTCAAAAACATGTTTACTCTTTGCAGATAACTAGATATAATTAAAAAATCCTGTTATCAAACCACCCCAAATGTCTACATAAATGAGGTACCATTCCATACTAAAAAATAGTAATAATAGTTAACACTCATTGAATCTTACTATATGCTCCGTCTTTCACATGTAATAACTCTAATTCTTGCAATATCACTATGAAACCAATACCACCTATTTATCCTGTATTTTTACATTCTTCTTTTAGAAGAAACTGAGGAACAGAGAGGTTGAGTAACTTGCCCAAAGTCTCACAGCCAGTAAAAATAAATTTGAAGTCAGGCAGCCTGGCTTTACTTAACCATTATACCAAATAACCTCTCTCATTGCTTTGGACATAAGGTAGTTAGTTATCAGGGGGTTACTAAATCTGCATTAAATGGAGATCTAATCCAATTATTGCTGAAACCAGCAACAGCACCTTTGTCCTTGCGTTTTTACCACAATACTTGCTGCTAAGAAATTGATGCAACTTGGTCCATACGAAGGCGGAACTAGCATGAGAGCATCATTCCTTGCCAATATAGCAGTGGTGGCTAGGAACTGTTCTTAATGAGTTTGGCAAGCCTGTGCCCTGAGATTCACCTCTTTGCCTCTACGTACTTCTCTGTAATAAACTCCTCTCCTTAGTGTCCCAAGTTACCAGGCCTGCCCTTAGCTCATGCAGGTAGATACAGAGCCAAATGCAGACCCCAGCATCAGTTTTCAGGTTGCCATCAAGATGATACAGAACACACTTTTATTACTAATTATTTAAGATTATTGTTGAGTGAACGAGTGAGTGAATGAGGCAATGAATAAATAAAATGTGTATGAGCCATGGACTGGTCAATTTCCCTTTTTGCATGAGCTGCTAGAGAGTTTACAGCTGGGACGAGCTCTAGACAAGGTAGCTGATAAATGTCAGCCTTTTAAAAATCTTAACACTAAACTCTCTCAAGAAACATATTTGCTAATTCTAGCACCATACTAATATTTAAAGCAATTTCAACCCAAAGGTAGAAACGGCATGTGGCATATCATTTTAGGCAGTGTTGCGCATTTTGTACGTTAACAGGCACATTTCTAACAGGGCTGGGCAACTGGGTAGACAAGAAAGAACATGAGACTTGCTACAAAAATGTTATAGATATTGGATCAAAGAATGACTTATCTTTAGTGGGTCTCAAAAATGTATTGACATCATACTAATTATGAAAGATTTGTTTTTACAGTGCCTTATTGGGGGGAAGGGATGAAGAGTGGGGGAGGAGGGTTAGGCAAAATCCTGATCCACAGGCATTGAGAAAAATCTCATCAGTTTACAGAATGTAGGTAGAACATTACAAAGTAAAAGTATTAAATTAGATCAAATTTTAAACAGCCTAAACCCCTTTTTAAAAATCTCTAACATATATTATTCATACGCTAGTGGGAGAAGTGACTTGCAAGTCTGAAACTTCAGCTATCTTCTCTGGTCTTATTTATTTAAAGCACTTTCACTTCAAATGTTGACCAACTATTTTTTCGTTAAAATGAAACCTAATGTTCACATCACATTAATGAGGACACCCCTCATTACACAAGTTAAACATCTGTTACCTCAACTAGACCCACACACTAGATGTGAGAGCTGAGTCCACCCTCTCCAACCGTTTGCAACCGCCAGGACATCAGACCAACCCACCTTTTGGGCTTCGTCAGAAAGCACAAAATATCCATTTAGGAAACTGAGATTTGATTTCTATTATTTACAAGGCTCTTTTGCAATACAATCTTACACAACAGACTGCTAGAGGAGGGAAGAGTGGGTGTAGAGAAACAGATGGGAAATAATCGTGTGTCACAGATAAATGACAATTTTTTAAAGATTGGTAGGGTGTGGGCCGGGGCTTTTGTTTTTGTCACTCTTTCTTTCCTCCTTTCTCTCTCTCCTCTTCCTCTCTCTCCCTTTGGCAGGGGGTGGAGATTACAGAAGAAAAGAAAGGGGGAGAAAAGGCAAGACAATAGGCTAGACCCTAGCGCCTGACGAGCATCCTAAAGCAGTCTGCCCCTCCCACCCTTCCCCTAACACCAGGTAGCCTGCGGTCGCGATTTCAAAACAAGCTGACGCTGGCCCCTGCCTACGGACTGAGGGTGGGCTCCTCCCCGGGTGCAGGAGGCGAGGGGAGCCGGCAGCAGATCGGGAAGGTTAGACGGAAGCTAAGAGATGAGCAGACTGGCAAGACCTCCTCGGGGACAGTGGCCTTTTTTCCCCTCTAAAGTGGTGGAGGCGCAGACAAATCCAAACCCACCCGGGCCCGCTCACGTGCCAGCACCCCTGGTCCAAAGCCTGGCGGCTGCCGACGCCACACCTACCGGCCCCGCAGCTGCGACAGAGCGCGGCGCTACCAGCAGCGGCGAAGCCCGGGGGAGCTCGCCCCGCGCGGTTCCCCGGAGGGCGGCGGCCGAGCGGGAAGGGAAGGGAAGGGAGGGGCGACCCGCCCGGACCGAGAAGAAAGCCCCACCTGCCGGGCGTTAAGCTCACGGCGAGGAGGTCAGACAGTGGCCACGCAAAGGCCAGCGCTTGGGAGCCCCTCTTTCCAAAGAACCTCCAATGTCACATGGTCAAAGAAATCTTTAGGCAAAAAACACAGCTGCTAGCAAGGGCTGCATCGCAGACGCTCTCGCCGACAGACGCTCACCGAGCAACCAACCCGCTGCTGCACAGAGGAAGGGGCTGTAGCGGGCGCGGGGGTGGGGGAGGGGGGCGGTGTCTCACGTTCCTTTAAAATAAACAAAACCAAGGCAAGCCCACGGTGCCCACTCCCCAGCCGGGCTTACCTCCTCGGCATCTTATCCATCTCTGGTCTTCCAGTGTGGGTGGTTGTTTTGTTCGTTTTGCTGTTTTCTCTTTGGGGGATCTGCTTAATGAATGCACCCAGCTAATCTGCAGAGCAGTGTTTTCTACCCATCCTGCAGCCCAGCACTTGTCAGAGCTGCTTGCAAATCCGCCAGCAGTGCAGCTCCTCCGCGTCAGTGGTAATTACGGACAACAGGGGCGGCTACTCCTTGACAAAAGGCTTTCGTTGCCGCGCGTGCCTCACAGCCCGGCCGTCAGAATTAAATCCATTTCCCGCACGAGGCTGGGAGGAAATGCGAGCTCTCCTGGCCGCGCGCGCTGACAAAAGGACGCCGGCGGGGCCCACAGCGCCCCCTCCAGCGGGCGCGGCCGTCAGCCCCTAGGCCCGGAGCTGCAGTGCCCCCGCCCGCCCGCCCGCCCGCCCGCGCTGCCGCAGTCCCGCGCAAGGCCCTCGGCGCACGGCCACTCCGGCCCCGCAACTGCCCGGAACAGCCAAGAGCTAAGATGAAAATTTTGTGACTAGGAAGAAAGGCTGAAAGGTGAGCTCCGTTAGAAGATGTAACCTTCCTGGGATTCAAAAAGCAAAAAGTCTCACACTTGGGATATGGTTTGGGAAGGACATCGTACTTTAGAAGATTAACTGTTAGTGATTTTAATAGCAATTGATTGACCATTTGAATTCCGAGCGAAGATTATCCCTAATTCTAACTCCATTTTTAATTAGAGTGAAATTTTTGTTGTTGCCCTACCCTCTGGGCTGTGTGGCCCCAGCTCCCTCCAGTTCTCCTCCTTTCACCCCTCTGCCTCCCCCAGTCTCCTAGAGAGAATATGCGTGTAGTGAGCTGGGAACTCAACAGAGAACCACAATACTTGGTTACAGTCTCAGACCCGCCGTTAATGAGCTGTGCTACCTTGACCAAGTCACTTAATCTTCCTGGGCTTTACTGGCTTGTTCTGTAAAATGACAGTGTACCTAAGGCATCTTCCACTTCTACTTTCTGAGTGTGTGTCTCAATACGTGGTCCTCAGAGAGTAAAGATGTCAAGTGGTAGCTTGGGACTTTAGACCCCCATAATCTCCACCAGCTCCCCAAAACTGCGATATAATGAGTCATAAGAAATACATATTTGGTCATTCAGAGGACCAAATAAATATTTCCCAGGTATATTTGGTCTCCATCCACAGTTCTGGAAAACACTGCAGAGTCTTAAAGGTGAAATGGGTGTCTTGTCATGTTAACAAGAGACCTTTGGACCCTACCAAGGGCCAGGGCTGGAGGTTGAAATTGGCTTGGAGAATTGCTTTGTGTTATGTGTGGGAAGACCCCCTCCCACACACATTGGAATCGGGTCTGGGAACCCAAAAGGAGTTACAATACTATTACTGTTGTGTGTAATACTATTATTGTTGTCATATATGAAAGAACACAAAACACTCCCCTAAATCAACACTCACTCTGTTTTTTAAAATGTGATTTCAGAGCAAGTACAGCTTCCAGAAAAACCCCCTGGTCACTGCCTCCAACCTGATCATGGCCCCTGTTCCTTCTGATTCTGGGGCACCCCAGGTCTTGGGAAGTCCCCTAAAAATATCACCAGGCCCCATCACAGTGCTGCTGCAGAATCAGAATCTCTGGAATTGGACCCAGGAATCCATATTTTAAACAAGCATCTCTAATGATTCTTCTGCACACAAACCTAAATGCCACTCTATGTAAGCTACTACTAATGTAGAAAAAGAGAAAATGGCCAACACAACAACTCTAAGACAACTGGCAGGCATGACTAGTTGACTTCATGGCTTAGATGCTTTGATTAAGCAAACAGTCATTTGGGGGAGACATACATGACAAGAAACTGATGGTGACATCTGGCCAAAGGCCAGCTAGAAACTGAGAACATCAGTCCGAAAGCCCTAGAGAAAATGAATTCTACCTTCTACCATGTAAGCCTGGAAGCAAATTTTTCCCCGTCCTAGCCTTCAGCTGAGACCCCAGCCTAAAGCCACACTGTGCTTTCTGCTTTGAGAGAGACCTTGAAGCAGAGGACCCAGCTAATCCATGCCCAGGCACAATCTGATCCACAGCTATTGAAATAATAAGTGTATTAAGTTGGCAAGTACAGTAATTTGTTACACAGCAATAGACAACTCATGCAGTGCCTTAGCACTCTCCAGGCTTGGACATACTTAACAAGTCTTCCCCAGGGCATGCCAGTGGTGCTAGAGGAATCCACAAGCCAGGGAGGGAATCAGCTCCTAACCAATGGCCATCAGGAGTTAGTGGATAAACAGCCCAACTCCCTCATCCCTAAATGTATGGAGGACATCTCTGATGCTAGGACTCCAGGGTAGCAGCACCTGCCCTCTGTTTTTGGCTGAAATATGTCCACCCCTCCCACTGCCCCCAAATTCCTATGTTGGAGTCCTAACCTCTGATTACATAGCTTCCCGAGTGCCACAGCAGGACTGGGCCCCAGATGCCCAGGGGCCCCAACCTGCTCAGTATCCTGGCTTCTCTTCCCTATATCACTTTCCCAATCCCCCATTGGTGTTTCCTGGGCTTGCCTCCCAAACAAACCAGAAATCATGGCCTAATTTCAATGGAATCAAATTTAAGACAGGAGATGGGGTTAAAGACAGTGCTCTCAAAGCCAGGCCAATGATAAACTCTAAGTCTAGACCTCCTGAAGATACCACTCTCCCAGGAAGGATGGAAGGAAGTTCGGCCAACCTTGTAGCTGCTGCTAGCTGTGCAGAGAACTGACCTTAGAGTTTAAGGCCTGGGGCTGCAGTATTGGTCCCAGGGACTATGTGACCTCAGGAAAGACTCTGACCCCAGGGTCTCACTTATGAGCTGTAAAGTGAGGGTAGCAGCCCCTGCCCTCTGTTACTGGCTGAATTACATACTCCCCACCCCTGCAAATTCCTATGTTGGAGTTCTAACCCCCAGTACTCCAGAATATGACTGTATTTGCCAAGAGGGTGTACAAAGAGATACTGAGGCAAAGTGAGACCATTACGAGATTGAAAAATTAGGTCATGTGGGTGGGCCCTCTAAATAGGATGGGTGTCCTTACAAGAGGAGGAAATGTGGATAGAGACCCGCATAGAGGGAAGAGCCTGTGAAGACACAGTGAGAAAACAGCCATCCCCAGGCAAGGAGAGAGGCGTCAGAGGAAACCAATTCTGCTGACGCCTTGGACTCTTGATCTCAGAGAAATTTCTGTTGTTCAAGCCACCTAGTCGGTGGTATTTTGTTATGGCAGCCCTAGAAAACTAAGAGTCTCCTACCACCCAGGGTTCTCATGTAGACAAAAAGGGACACCCAGTGAAAGGGCTTACACTCTTGTCATTGCTGATTAAAACGAGACATGCAGCAACGGCAAGCTTAGCCACATGAGGAGAGAACCATGCAGGGCAGTGAGGCACCACATCCAGCTGGTACAGAGGTAAGAGAACCCTTGTTATAAAGTAGCAAAGAACTTGGCAAAATTATGTTCTGGTGTTTTGTAGAAGGTAGAAATTGCAAGTGATGAAATTAGATATTTAGCAGAGGAGATTTCTAAGCAAAATATTGAAAATGCTACTAGAATCCTCTTTACTGCTTATAATAAGTTCCAAGAGGAGAGAGAGGAATTAAAGGAAGAAATGTTAAACTAAAAGGAAGCAGAACTAGGAGATTTGGGAAATTCTTAGCCTTTCTATATTGTAAGAACTAAGTTCGTTCTGAAGAGGGCACAGAGGCCCTAGGTGAGCAACCATGTTGATAAAGAGCCCAGGGGTGCACCTCACGGATTTAGTCAGCCATCTCAGCAGAGGCCAGGAATAGGTAGGATTACACCATCAAAACCACTGCCTGTTTGAACTAAGGGGGACCAAGAAAGCAGGACAGAATAAAGGCAGGTCGTCAAACTTCTCAGATTCTACAGGACTAGCCCAGAGAGCTATTTAGGGGCAAACGTGCTCTATTCTCCAGAAAAGGGAAGAATGACCCCAAAGGTGATTCCGAGATTGGGGTGCCACTCCTCCAGCCACAGGCCCAGAGGGAAGTTAGTTTCTTGCTGGTTTCAGAGGGCAGGGCCACCAAAGAGAGCTGTGGGCCATGATGTGGCCATTCCAGTGGGCCTGCAACATAGGACACTGAGCCAGGCGATTCTTTTGAAGCCTTAAGATAAAGCAGAATTTGCCTAGCTAGGTTTGGGGCTCACTTTGGACCCATCACCTCCTTCCCTCTTTCCAGTTTCTCCCTTTTGGAATGGGAATGTCTATCCTATGCCTATTCACCACTCTATTTTGGAAGTGCATAACTTCTGATTTCACAGGATCACAGTTTATAGAGAGGAATTTTTGCCTTAGGATGAATCATATCTTGAGTGTCACCCAAATGTATTTAGATGATATTTAATGAGACTTTGGATTTCAGATTTTAGAAATGATACTGGAACAAGACTTGGAATGGAGTGAATTTTGTGTAAGGACATGAATTTGGGATATTTGGGCAGAATGCTATGGCCTGAATTGTCCCCCCAAAATTCTACATTGAAGCCTTACCACCCTGTATAACTATTTACTAAGAGACAGGTAGGAAGTATCAAGGTTAAATGAGGTCATAAGTGTGGGGCCTTAATCTGCCAGTGTCCTTAGTAAGACGAGAAAGAGAGACCAGAGTTTGCTCGCTCACACACAGGCTCTCTCTCTCCATCATGCGAAGCCAGAGAGAGAGAAGGCAGCTTTCTGCAAGCTACATAAAGCAGTCTCACCAGAAATCAAACCTTCAGTCCTTGGTCTTGCACTTCCCAGCCTCCAGAACTTCAAGAAAAAAATTTGTTCTTTAAGCCACCCAGTCTGCGGTTTGTGTTTTGGCAGCCTAAGTGGACAATACATGCTCCGTGCCTTGGGTTCCACATCTGTCAAGCAGGGTTTATCATGCCTGTCTCATAGGACTGGTATGAGAACAAGTTGACATAGTATGGGGAACAGACCCAAAATATATTAAGTGCTGTGTCTTTGTGAGCAATTGTTAGAAAGATGGAGACTGCCTCTGTGCTCCAAGTGCTTGGGTGTCTAGCTGGCAAAGGTGTCAGATGGCCTTAGCAGGGCACTTGGATAGCCTTGAAAATCCTCACGCCCCATGGCCAATGCTTACCACTATGCTCTTTTAGCTTCAATCTGTATTCCTATTAGGCACTAATTTCCTCAGGAAGGGTAACAGGCACTTCTTCTTCAAGTGATGAAAACAGATGGAATGAAATATATTAGGTGTAGTCTTGAGAGGAGGATGGAAACCTCTTTGGGATTGAGAGATAAGAGTGAAGGCTGAAGGCCCTGAAGCCTGCTTCTTCAAAGCATGAAATTAAGGAGAAAGTAGAATTGAGTAAATTTGTGACAGGCAAGGCCATTTAAAGGGTAACTAATAAACTGAATTATCACACAATGTTGCTAAAAAATGAGACTCCAAAATTTTCAAGAACTGCATTTATTGGTCTCTACAAAGTAGCCCTGGGCCAGCCTTGTCACTTTTCATACTTGGCACCTAAAATAGAGAAGAGAGTCCTTTGTAAATGTCTAAAGAATAGGAACAGTTCGTGAAAGAAATATGTAAAAAAAAAAAATCATTTCATTAGTAATCAAGATATTTAAATTTAAAGATAAAATTCTAATGGGCAAAAAAAAGTGTCATTATTAATGTATCCCATTGTTGGTTTCCACGGATATGATGAAATCAGCACTCTTACATAGCTGAATGCAGTATAAATTGACACCACACATCAAGTCATAGATTATACCCACCTGTGGCTCAGGAGTTCTACTTCTGAGAATCTATCCTAAAAAAAATGCAGAAACTCAGCCATAAGAAAGAAACAAATTCTACAATTTGCAACAACATGGATGGAGCTAGAGGGTATTATGCTCAGTGAAATAAGCCAGGTGGAGAAAGACAAGTGCCAAAGGATTTCACTCATCTGTGGAGTACAACAATGAAGCAAAACTGAGGGAACAAAACAGCAGCCGACTCATAGACTCCAAGAAGGGACTAGCGGGGGACAAAAGGGAGGGTTGGGGAGGGAGGGAGAAGGAAGAGTGTATATCAGTAATACCTTAATAAAATAAATAAATAAATGCTGCAGAAAGAGCTAAACACATCTGGTTATTTGCCATGTTTATAAGAACAAAAAACTCCCAATTTAAATATCCAACAATTAGAAAATTGCCCCATTTAATGAACCATTAAAATTTGTTATAAACACTATATACTGACCTCAGAACATGTTAGAAAAAGAACAGGACACACAACGCTATCTACCCTATGATAATTCATAATTCAGTTGTACAGGAAACATTTTAAAAGGATTTTAGCATATTTGCATTAGTGGTTTTACAAAGATGGTGAAGATCATTTGGGGTCTTCTCATTTTTCTGAAATCTCAACTTGAAGAAAAAACAAATCCGTAACTACAAAACAAAGTCACTCAAATCATGGTCAGGCAGTTCAGATATTAGAACCCAGGTGTATAATCATTGTGGGCAATAAAATACTGCAATCAAATGCTTTAATTTAGCTTAAAAAACACATTTCTCTATATGCTAGTCCACTCTCATTTACTCTCAAGGGTGAATTTGTTAGATGAAAGGTAGCTACTACCCATATGCCCAACTCCACCTTTCATTGATGCACTCGATATTGGACAAGTTACTTAACTTCTCATCCTTAGTTTCCTGATACATAAAATAGACATAATTGTTTCTACATCACCGGGTGGTTATGAATATGAAGTAGGTTAATATGTATAAGCCACTAGGAATAGTACCTGGCACAAAATAAGTATCAATAACTATGTTTTTCTGATCTTGGTCAAGTCTATCTACTATACATGTGATCAAGTTTTCTTTGAATTCAAATTAACTTTAGAAGTTTTATTTAAGAATTTTTTTAACCTTTTACATATCCAAAATGTTTTACACCTGAGAGAAAAACTCATGTATTGCTGCATTTACCTGAAGGATTTAAGGATAATTTAATCCTATCAGCCCATAGTCTATTTTAGATCATTGCCTTAGAATCAGAATATGAAAACTTGCTGAAGTTTATCAATGTCTCATTCTCACAATTCATTTAAAAATGCCCATTAGCCTTGCCTCTTCTAAGTCAAGGAATTGAAGGTCCAAGAAGAAGGTATCTGAGGAACAGAAACCCAGTGAGCTGCTCAGCCCCTCTAACAAGGCGGGCATGCTCCTGTTATGGGTTGTGGAGATGGACAGCTTGACACATTATCCAGTGCATTTCCCTCCACCCACTGAGCCAAGGCTTGGTCGGGGTGTGGGGAACAGGGGCAGATAGATATGGACAAGAAGTCCTCACTCTCGGCTTTAGATCTCATTTCCTAGCTGAACAAAGCAAGCCAGTCCCTTGAAAGAAGACGACTTAGATGAAAGGGAAAATAACAAACATGTAGGTTCTGGTGGGCCGGGGCTCAGATGGCCGCACATCACATGGTCAGAGGGCAGGGAGGAGGCAAGACATATTGTGTGAAAGATTTCCTACAACCAAAAATGGAGAAGAAGGTTGACACAGTAGGAAAGAGTTACTCAGAAGGGATGGAACTAGTATATAAAAGCTGCCTGACCCCTGGGAAGGGCCCTTATACCATGCCACCCTGGGCCCATCCGAGGGATAAGAAAGAGTTATATAAGGAATAGAACCCAAGATAAAGTAATAAATATCTCAAGAAAGCAAGGATTTGCATCCACTTCTTGGGACATAGTCTCTCGCGGAAGTTTGGTGCTTACATGGCTGGGGGACATCATCAGGTATATGAGCCCAAGGGCAGCCACATATCCAGGAAGACAAGAAGCAGCCTGGGTTTGGAATTAGAAGGCCTATCAAGCCTGACCTAGAGAGGAGAAGCCACAGTGGGGCCATGGACATCCACAGCAGATGTCAGCTCAACAATGCCCAAGACTGGAGGCCAGAGGACTAGCTGGGGTCAGAGATGGGACAACACACAGAAGAGCTCCTGTTTCAGCCTCAACAGTGCATACACCTCTCACTGCACCTGAAGGAGGACGAGGAATGGGGAGATCACTTAAGAAGCAAAGAGCCCCCATAGGGATTATGAACACTGAAGCAGTTCAGTATTTACTCAAAGAAAGATCTTAATAGGGCAAGATTAAGACCTTTCCCACCATCTGAATCATAAGGGTCTCACTGGGTTATCAACAAGTACAGTGTGGAAAGTTATATATCTTCCCATCTAAATTGTGCTCATAATTGTCAGTCCTGCTTCAGGGCATGAAAGTCCAACCAGAACACAGAGATCAGAACCTAGTGTGCTGGCCACAGCCTCACTGTCTCATGTCTAGAGGGAGATCCGCACACATGATCTTCCAGCAAATGAAGCTCCTTCAAAAGGACCAGAGCTTTGCCTACCAAGCTCCATGTGGTCTGTCACTTTCCTTGGGGACCTGGCTGAAATCACATAATGCAAGAAGAAGGACTCTTCCCTCAGTTCCTCTCACCTCAGAGCACCCTGATGAGGAAGTGCCCCAGGCCCATCCTCCACGCTGGAGTTGCTAGAAGGACACATTCCCAGAGGTAAATGTCTTCTAAAAGGAGGTGAGTGATCCAAAGAGAATTCCTAAAAGCAATCGAGTTGTACTTATCATCCCTTACCCTCCCAGTAGAAGATCTACTTTTAACATTGTGTCTTTAAAGTCCATTTTATCCCTGATGTTTTAGAAAATCCAGGGATTAAAATAAAGGGAGAGGATGGAAGGTAGGAAGACACACTGACCTCCTCAGGGGCTAGCTTATGGGGTCCTAGCATCTGGCAGTTTTCTGCTAACCCAGAGAGCCATCTGTCCCAGGGGAGATCAGCAGCACAGAAGTCCTGCCTCTCCCTTATAAAGAACCTTCCATCCGATGTGTGCCATTTTCCTCTATCCATGTGGGACCAGTGAGATAAGCCTTTTATAAAACTCGTAAGTAGTCCCTCAAGAAATCCACTAGAACAGATGAGGACTTACTTCAATTCATCTAACCACCAGACCCACTGTACGTCAGAGAAAGAGAGAAGGAACTATTGGCTTTCTCAGATTATGCTCAGCTCACTGACTGTTAAGGGCACAAACCAGGTAGAGACCTTGTCAAACGCACCAAACTCCGTGGGCAGGCACACACTGACACACTCTCACACATATGTTAAACCCACTTCCTTGATGGAGTCAATCTTTTGTCTCCACAGAAAAATTAGGGTACCAACAAAAGAAATCTCCCTTTCATTTTCAGAAAGAAATAGAAGTTTATCCTCCCGCTAACATTTTCTTATCTTGATCAGATTGGGCTGTCCTTGGGTGCTGCTTGGATCTCCTCCTGAGTAGCTGCAGCCTGGAGAACCCTCCACCAGGAGTGGCGTCAGTCCAAGGTCAGATGGACCCTGTCCTGCATGCCCCAGATCTCACCTGCCAAAGGTCCCAGGGAACCACCAGCGTTCATGGCTTCAGAGCACCAAACCCTAAAGCCCCAAAGCTTAGAAAGATGCCGTAACTTCCCAAGCCAGATGCAACCACTGCAGAGTCTTCCCTCCAGCACCAGTGCCCTTGGTTCAGGGCTGCAAAGTTAAATGCCTAAACTGGTGATATAACAAGGGGTGGTGGAAAATGACAAACTAGAGAGCACGGACCCATCAACAGGGAAGTTCAAGTTTTTCAAACACTTAGCTGGCTAAACTCATCAGCACATGCCCCCGAAGCCACCACTGAACAGACAAATGTGCTTCCCAGAGGAAAGCCTAGACCTGCCACGCCACTGCAGTGCAAGACCTGCAGTCACATTTGGCCACTACTTGGGGTCGCATGAGATGGAAGGCAAGACAACAGATGGTTCAGGGAGTTCAAGGGTGGTAATTCATCCCCACTAGCTGGACCATCTCAGTCCAGAGCTTAAAATATGATTAGAAGAAATGTCTCCAGTGATTAATTAAATGCACAGATTACCACAACCTGCAGGGGGGCATAGTGGAAACCTACTACCCACAAACTCCTCATTCTCTCAGAAACTCTCCAAGGAACACTCCCAAGACAGGCCAAAATTCAGAAGTGTATGAGGCTGGCATATCCGGGCTCCACAATAGACACTTATGTTCATCCATATATCCCTTTCCAGAACCCCTCTGACCCCAGCACAAGTGGCATCTCACTCCAACACTGAGGGTGGTCTTTGTCCAGGGACACAGACTCTAGAGGATCACAGGCAACTGAACAAAATTCAAATCCTTACACGATGTCAAATGCCATAGCATGGGTGACAAATAGAAGGAATAAACAATGGTAGGTTAGTGAGCATCTTGTCACCCAGCAACATCCAGGCCCCAAGTAGAAAAACCCTACACTTTGAAAGTCTATTTCTAAACAAGCCTTACCTGGACCTTGACACGAATCCCTGTCCCCCCAAAGCCAGAGGTTCACATGGCTCAGGGCCTTCTCCATCCACACATATACTTGCTGAGTCAGTCCCCAAGTGAACCTGCTCTGGCCTGAGCCATCCCTGCCATCAGCAGATTCTTATGAACCTCATTTGGGATTTTGCCATTCAGGAATGTTGTTGATCTTGCACAGCCTGTTCTGACCCCATCCCAAAATCCCCCAAAATGCAGTCTCTGCCAGCAAGCCTCAGATCCTCTCCAAGCAGGAAGAAGGCTAACCACTCCCACATACTGAAGCTGGTGGGGGAAGGCGGGGTACAGCATATGCCTCTCAAATCCTAAACCCCTTTGTACATAGGCATTTCAGACCAACGAGCCTGTTAATAGCTGTCCCCAGCTCTCCAGTTAGGGTATCTGGCCAGGATCCTGAAAACCTATGTAGTCACCCTTTCAGGTAAACTGGGCTGAACCCTTATGAAGATCATGTGGCAAATAAAGGCCAGCCTGAGCTTTGTGTCTTTGGTCCCTTTATCTTGCTCCATCCTGGTTCCTGACTAAGATGCAAGCTTCTATAAAATTATTAAAAGTGATACTAAATAACTGCTCAAGCCATATGCAAATAAGGATCTCAGAATTAAATCTATTAACAAAAAGAAAATCAGCCAGAATGACAGTCACACAGTAGGCACTTGAAAGAAAAAAGATTTCCCCTCCCTGAACAATTCAGTCCTGATGGCGTAGTGAACAGTGAGATGGGGAGCCTGGAGTGCAGCGTTGCAGGCTGAGGGTGAGGACTGCATTCAAACACGTTGGCAGCCCAGCACAGACCTAGAGGACGAAAGAGGTCACACCAGGGGGGAAGGAGGCCCTGTGCAAATTAGTAAAGCCCAAGCCCAGTTAGGGTGAAGGGTAGCCTGGCATGGGAAGTCAGCTCCAAACAAGGTAAGGAGGGCATGAGGAGGGTGTCCAGGCAGATGGGCGGCACAGCACTGGGAAGAGAAGCCCAAGCCGAGTATGACAGGCATCCATGTGTGCAGGCCACCCAACATGGGGACCCCAAGCAGGTGAGGAGCACCTGTGTGGGGGGTGAGGGTGAATGTCAGAGCCAGAGAGAGGGTTCTTATGGAGAGGCAGCTTGTCATAGGTACTGGGGGGCAGAATTGTGTCCCCCCAAAATTAAGTGATTGAAGCCTTAACCCCCAGCACCTCAGAAAGTGACTGCTTGGAGAAAGGGAATAGAAAGGGGTAATTAAGTGAATATGAGGCCATTAGAGTGGGCACTAATATGCCTGGTGTCCTTACAAGAATAGGAAGTCTGGACACACAGACACCAGGGCCACACACACGGAGGAAAAGCCATCTGCAAAGGATAGAGGCCTCAGAATAAATCAGACTTGCTGACAGCCTCTTAGACTGCCAGCCTCTAGAACTATGAGAAATAAGTTTCTATGGTTTAAGCCACTCAGTCTGTGTATGTTGTTACAGCAGCACTTGTAAGCTAATACAGGTGCTAAAGCCCAAAAAGGGTGAGGCGAAGAGTCATGGAGAGATGGCACAAGATGGGAGATCAGTCACACACAGGGTCGCCTTGATGAAAGGCTCATTTCAGGCCTGGGGGTGGGCGAGTACAAGATGCTTGAGCTCAGAACATCTTTTTACTAGAAAGGAAGTGATCAAAAAATGATGGAGACATGTCAAGCACAAAGCCCCACTTGAAGGGGCCAATAGGACAATTTGAGTGACAAAATAAATCATGAAATATATATATATTATATGACAATATAATAATCTACTGAATTAAACAGAAAACCATGTGTCTATATTATAAAAAATGAATACAGAAACAAAGTGTTCTATAATAAGTAAATGGCTCAGCTGCAGCACATCCATCCCATGGTTAATGTTTAGCAGTAAGAGGAACAGACCATTGATAGAATAGCTGGGATGATTTCAGGGGCTCTGTGCTAAGTGACAGAAGCCAGTCTCTAAGGATTCCATGTAGTATATGCTGTTCTCAAGATGGTAAATCAAAGAGATGGAGAACAGCTTAGTGGCTGTCAGGGATACATGGATGTGACTATGAAAGGGTAGCATGCAGGAGAGCTTTCTGGTGATGAAACAGCACTGGATCCTGATTGCAGTGGTTGGTTTTCCACAGATTTACACATGTGATAAAATGACATGAAACCATATACATGTAGTACTGATACTGATTTTCTGGTCAGTACTGTACTATAGTTACATAAGCTACAGCCCTTGGGGGAAACCAAGTTAAGAGTACATGGGACTTCTCTGCATTATCTTTATACTTCTTATGAATCTATCATTATTTCAAAATAGAAAGGTTAATAAATGTAGAATGCTTAATGAGTAGTAAGATATCTAGATAGTTTCAAAAATCTCTGCACAAAACACAAAAGAAAAAGGCTAACTCTAAATTAGAGAGGCCTGGTGTTCACCACACTGAGTATGCGAATATCCTTAGCAATAGGACGAATCAAAATCTGTCCCATCTCCAAGGATGCAACGCATAGGAAACTGCACCACTTCTGTGATATTCCTGCCAAAGATGCATTCTGAATACAACCAGGAGGAAACAGACAGACTTGAATCAAGAAATGTTCTCCAAAACAGCTAGCCTGTAATGTTCGAATGTGTCAAGGTTGTTAAAGAAATAATCATCAAGGACCAAGGAATTATACCAGATGGAAGGAAACTAAAGAGACATGACAACTAAATGCAACTCATGATTCTCAGCTGGTCCCTTTACTAGAAAGGGCATTATTAAGACTGTTGGTGAAACCTGAGCAGAGCCTGAGGATATGTGGCAGTGATGCCATGAACTTCCTGGTTTGGATGGCTGCACCGCAGTCGTGCAGGAGATTGTCCCACTGGAAGGAATTCACACGAAAGTAATTAGAGGCCATGGAGCATCTTGTGGGCAACTGACTCTCAAATGGGTCAGGAGAAAAAGTTCTTTGTACTGTACTTGCAGCCTTTCTATAAGCTGATTATTGTTTCAGAATAAATGTTGTTTACTTTAAAAATGAATTGTTCGAATGCCAATGAGAAACCATTGACAAAACTGATGGAAATCTAGAATACTTGTGCAAAAATGGCACTCTTTACCTTCAAGCCTGGAAAATCACACTTGCCAGGAGTTACCTGCTAAAAGAAGTTACATTGAGATAAACATCTCAAATATGTGATTCATTCTTTGTTCATTCTAAGAATTAGCACACTCTTCCAATTAACAACTTAACCTTGGTTAGTTAAAAGACTTAAAATTTAGTGTCTTGTTCCTTTTTAAAAGTAAAGTTCCAGTCAGAACTTTTCTGTTTCTTACTAGAAAATGTTGGTCTGCCCACTTTAAATCTACTTACTGTAAATGGCCTATTTCCAGGATCAACTATCCCGGGAAAACAAGGACCTTCTGTACACACACTGTTGCTGCGGCTTTTGCAAAGTGTAAGCCTGCTCTTCTACCAGCCGAGGTCTAACAGTATTGGCCAGAAGGTGGAGTCACCTTCTGGTGACTGGCATGGTGATACCTACCTGATAAGGATCAGTGATATTAAAGGCAAGTAAGATTCTTGCCTTAATACCTAGTACATATTAAAACTAACATTTATGGAAGCATTACTAACTTAAATAGCCAAGGCGAAGGTTCAGCTTCATTTTTTTCTGTTGTTCTCAGTCACCCCCAGTCCGCTCATATAGTAGCAACAGGAATTCTGTCCCCTAATGGTTGACGGGCAAGGGAAGGTTTCTATTTCAAGTAGCCAGAATGTGAAATCGAGATTGAGCATGTGCACAAGTGGAATTCTTAGAAGACAGCAATCAAGTCAGAAATGGGAGCCAAGGCTAGCCACTCAGTAAGAAGCCTGTCGGAACTCAAAGCAGAGTGGTGCATGGGTGAGAACCAAGCAAGAAAAGCCAGAACACCTTTTAAGAACAGAGCTGCAATGCCTGTAGTGTACTGCTGATTGCTCACCAGTCAACACTGACGCTTCATGGTGAGTCAAACAGGTTTAACAATGTATGCCCAAGGAAACACTGACAAGCTAGATACTGTGCTAGACACTTGACCAAAACGATGTCATTTGAACCTCACAGTTACCTTATGTACAAGGTAGGCACAATTATCATTTTCATTCTATAGACACATAAACTAAGGATTAGAGATTCAAGAGCCCACCCAAAGTCACACAGCTAGCGAGTGGTAAAACCAGGATTTGAACCTTAAAATTCTGTCTCTAGAGTCCTGCACTCAACTACTATTCTAAACTGCTGCCCACCAACCACTGTTTGTTACTCCATGGCCCTACTGTCCCTTCTGTCACAGTAAGCAGCTTGCGTGTTACAGTATGCCTGGTTCCAGACTCCTACAAGCCTTTCTTGCTTCAGTAGCAGCCATGCTGCAGGATGCAGCAAAGGCGTCTCACTTGTGTAGCACTGAGACACAGCAAGGGGAAAAAAGTCCACTTGCTAGACTTGGAGAAACAGGCTGCTAATTTCAGCAGCTTCCTCAGCTTGGAAAAGTAATAAGAGCTGTTAAATAAACTCCTTTGCTATTATTTAGAAAATACTGCCTCCTACAAGGCCAACTCAATAAAAAAACAAATGTGTGCAGGCATATATGGTATCACCATGCATCGGTATGTATAACACGCTGCTGTCTTTTTCTGGAGACCTCAGAATCAGGAAAACTTTTGATGCACTAATTGTTATTAAAAGTATCAATATTTTACTTACATCATATAATTATGGTGTCTAGTTATTAATAAAAAATATGCTCAGCTCTGTATTTAGATGATTCTGTAAGGCCTGCTTTTCCCTGGAACTGCTTACCAATTAATTTGGAAACATAATAGATTTTCCAAACAGGCAAACTCTATCTCCCCACCTAGGTGCTTTCACAAAATGATGTTGTTTCAGTCATCTGTTAGCAATGGAAAATATCACACACCTCAAGGAAGATATTCTGAATTTTTGACATCTACAAAAAAGAAGAAACTCTTTTACCAGACTCCTGGTTGGGGAGATAACTCCAGTTGCAGACATGACACTGACGACAAGTGTAGGCTAACTCACCACTGCTACCATCTGCCCAGGGCCCTTCTTCCTCATTCTTCAAGCCCACAGCACAGCTGGCATGTTGGGTGATGTGTCTCGATAGCTCTCTGGCCAAGGATATATGTGGTTCAGAAATATTGCTGCTATAGTTCTGGTGATCTGGATCTTGTTTCTGGAAACCATATTTAGTGGTCAAACAGTGTTATATGACAGTCAGACTTTGAACATTTAAATCAATATATTTCAAAGTTCTGACAGACGACGTTTCATTTAAGTGATAAGGGCAATGCTTACATTATCATGGAGAGGAAACCATTGCTCAATTGTTATGCATTGGCAACTGCATCAAAAAGATTATAGCCTGGAACAGATCCTCTATTTTATAATGAATGTAGCACCAAACAAAGCACTCCTGTTATTACATAATTAAGCTGCAAAGAAAAACTAAGACAGCCACCCGCACGTGTGCAAACACTCTGACCAGGCCCCTACCCGGCCATCCAATCTGATGACAGGAAAACCCACTCGCACCATTGCAGAAGGTGACCTCCCAGTAGTCACCTAAGTAGGACTAGCAAATAAGGGGAAAACCCTAAAAGGACCATGACACACCCAGCTATTTCTCCCTAAGTTTTTAGGATCAGGTTTCTTTAGTCTTTAGTATCTGCCCTTCTCTTTGGTCCCTGAACATGATCACATTGTTAGTTAGAAAAGACCTTTACAGACCTAACAGCTTTTCTTCCATTCTTTTGAATCTTCTTTCCAGTCTCAGGCTTCCAGGTTGAATGGACTTGAAATTGGCCATTTCTCTCTACTTGAACCCCAGAACTACATCTCAACACCCTTTGAGCTGACTTCGAGCCCACTCCTATTCCACATCTCAAATGCTGGGCCAGGTGTTCTTCCCTGGCCTCTCAGTAGCCTTTCACACTACTGCTGCCCATCCTCAGCATCCCACAGTTCTACCCTGCCTGACCTAGGACCCCATCTTGCTTCTCTACCTTCTCCTCTCTGATGGCTCTTCCTTTTTGTCAAGTGTCACTTAGGGCTCATTTCTGTCTTCATATCTTACCTCCTCCTCTGATGACTCATCTGCTTTCAGACCTCCAGGGTCTGCCTCTCCATTCAATGACCCATAACACCAGCTCACACCTTCCACTGCTAATGGACATCTCTGAGCAATGCATCCTGATAATGGTGGTGACACCACGGGGCTTATTTGCAAAGCAGCTTCATTCGTGTCCTCCCACTGAATGGTCACAAAAACCCATGAGACTCACACAACCAGACCACTGCTGAGCTCTCCGGTAGGGTTGGCCCTCAGGGAGGGCCTCTCCCAGGGGAAGACCTTCTGTGCCCTAATGTGCACCCTGCTGAAGGGAAACCACCACCACAGAGTGGCTTTAGGAAGCCTCCTCTCATGTGCCGCTGTCAAAGTCTTATTAAAGATTAGGAGCTAGGTGCTCTCGACAGTGACAGGAGGCAAGTGCATGGATGGCTGAGACCTTGGCTCCAAAGCTCTCACAAACCCGGATTCAAACCCCAGTCCTGACATTTTTTAGCTACATGGCCTTTACCTGTATTTTGGTTTTCTCTTCTGTAAAACAAGTCTCATAAATAGCTCAGAGGATTGTTATAAACTAACTGGAAGGTCTATTCAAACTGGCACATAAAAGGGGTTCAATAAACAGTGAGTATCATTGTTCTAAACTTTTAAGCCTTTACCTCAGAGTCTTTGGCTCCTTCCAAAACATCACTGAGAACTTGTATGTACTCAGTTGCACCTTTCAGAATATCAACTTTGCTAGGCTTCCTGCTTTGGGGGAGAAATGGCACAAGTGCCTTCAGTTTGGCAAAACCACGGTTGAGATTTTTTATCTGGAAAGCAAAAAAGCACAGTGACACACAGAGAAGCTAATTTGTACAGACAACCCCCAAACCACAGAAGGGTTTGTAAGGGCTCGTTTCCACAGCTCTCTTGTCCTGGTGGCGAACATAAGCAGGCACCGGCCACAGTCCCCGCTCCACAGGCAGTGCAGCTCCTGGCACAAACTCAGCACTGCAGGTGGGTGGGCTGCAAGGGGCACCTGAGTCCACGCTGACCTCCCTCCTCTTCCTCCAAGAGCATACCCACTGCACTGTAACGTCGAGGCAGTGGGTAGTGGCCAAAAGCTCTAAGTCGATACACCACAATTTAAAACCCAGATCCACCATTTACTAGCTTTACAATAGTACGTAGGATACTTCATACTGCCAAGCCTTGGTTTATCTGCGAAGTGGAAAATACCCTCCTCATGGCTCTTTTGCAGCGATTAGGAGACATAATTACAATAAAACACTTCTTCCTGACCTGGCATGTGGAAAGCCCCCAATAAGTGGTACTGATGATAATTAATAAAATGTACAAACACTTGTCTGCTCAAGCATTTGTGCCATCAAGCCTTCAACCTCTTTCCCAGATGAACTGAGAGTCAAGTGGTAGAGTCCAAGTAGTCTGCATGTTGGTGAAATTTGAAAAGTGGAAAAAGGCTCGTCATTTTTTTTTTAATTCTCTAGGGCCTAATCCCTCAGAAAACCTGGAATTCTGATGATTACCACCCTGGGGGACACAAGCCCTGAAAAAACTGGCTCCCACTACATCATAAAGCCAGTATACTCACTTATATTAATTGAAAGCCCCCTCCTATCCCAGATCACAGTGGACAATGGACATAGCCCATTACAGCAGAATACAATGACCAATAAACAGATAAAAATACTGAACTTTAATAAAAGAGCTACACATTAAAACAGAAATTAGATACGATTTTTCATGTACCAAGCTGGTTTCATTTTGTTTTGTTAATCATACCCAGCACTGGGGATGGACAAACAGAACAGTTCCTATATCCTATAAGGGATAAAAATTTCTTCAAAGCATTAGGGCAACTTGTAGCAAGTCATGAGAGTGTATATGTCTTATGTCCCAGTAATTCCACTTCTAGCATAAATTTTATGCTAAAGCAATTATCAGACAAACACACAGATTTATGTATCAGGAAAAAGCTGGAAAACTCATTCATGCCCAACAATAGGAGACTGGATAAGTTATGGTCCACTTACAGGCAGACCATGTAGTCAAAAGCTTGTTCTTTGAAAGAATGCTTCAGAATGAGCAAATGCTTTTGATAATAATAAGTGAAAAACATTACAAAGTTACTCTAGATCACAATTTTATAAAAGTATATAAAGGGACATACATAACTAGAAAAAACTCTGGGAGGATATACACAAGAATAATACTTCATGGTAGTTGTATCTGTTATGGATGTTTTGTTTCCCAGTCATTTCTATGTTTTCCAGATACATCAGTTTTATCATAAAGGTTGTTAGTTTTAAAATAGTTGATAAAACCAGGATCAATTCTCCGCAGAAAGTAATTATTTTCTGGTGAGAAGGCCTACTTAAAATTCAAGCAACTGGATCAGAATCTTGTTTGAGACCACATCTTGACATCAGATTCCGGGTTATTTTCATAAATACCAGGTTAGCGCCTGGTAAAACCCTGCCTCTCCACCCCCGCGGTTATCCCAACTTGTTTCCCTTAAGTCTTCTGCTCTTGGACCCTCCTCTTCACACCCTTTCCCAAACACAGCTCCTGACTGATTCACTGGGGCTACACTTCCAAAAGGCCCCGGCTGTGGAGGCACAGCGCCCGGCAGAACAGCCTCAGGTCTCAGGCCTGAGGAGTCTCCCCTGTCTCTTCCAACCCCCATTCTTCCCTCTGTAGGACCGCCTCTGCTGCGACCGAACCCAAAGACTGCGACAGGCAGAACGGAGCCCAGATCCGACAAGTTCGGGGCCCGAGCCTAGTTAGAAATACTGAAAGCTACCAGCAGATGCCGCTCCGACTCCGTCCCACAGGGCCATTCCGTTTGCGATTTACCGCGTACCCCGCCTGTCCGCGAAAGTCACTTGCTCCTCACAGGGAGTGGAGTGAGGGACTGGGCGCTCCCCGGGGCATTGCGTCTCCTTACTTTAAAAAAGAAAAGAGTAACTTCCAAGGGGTCCCTTCGCCCTAGTCTCGCTTTCAGGCAGAGATTCAGAGGTTAACGAAAACGGGTGGTGGGAGCCCTTTGCACCCCAAGCACCCACCCAGCAGTTTCTGTTGGGAGACTGAAGCGCAACTCCCGGGCGGGCGCCAAGCTTTTTAAAAGCACCTGCCACTGGGAGACATTTGTGAAGTTGGGGGCCTCCTCCGTCTCCACTCCCACCCTCAGACCTGGTCCCTGCACAAGTGCCCGAGGGTTCGCAGGGAGAGGGCCATCCCAGCGTCAGCGAGCAAGCAGCTGGACGGGGGTGCAGGGTAACACGGCCACCGTCACTTTCCCAAGGTGGGGCTCGAGGGGCCTCAGAGGTCCAAGTTGCCCTCGGGAGCCGCCGGTGAGCGGTGAGTGGTTGCACTGGGTCCTGCCCGGGGTTTGGCGGTGGGTAGCGGGTATGGGCGCGGGAAGAGGAGAAGTCAGCCTGCCCGGGGCAGGGCCGGGGGTCGCCAAGCCCGGGTGGCCTGGGCGGCCCTCGCGGGGCCCGGCGCTTACCCGCTCGCGCTCCTTGGCGTTGGCCACGCGCCGCCGCTCCAGCACCAGCTGGAGGTCCTCGGTGGAAGAGTAGCCGCCCGAGGGCAGCCGCTTGAGGCGGCAGATGGCGGCCAGCTGAGGCAGCGGCCCGAACTGCTCCCGCAGCACGTCCTCCAGCACCTCGGCCTGCGGGGCACGCAGGAGGGCGGGCGCAGGGTCCATGGCGGCCTGCAGGCCCGCCGGCCGCCGGGCCTTTCATCGCCCGCACCTGGGGCCGCACGGGGCCCGCGGGGGCGTGAGGGGCGTGAGGAGCGTGGAGGGCGTCCGCCGGGCGCATCGCGAACCGGGTCCCTGTCTCCGGAAGTCCGTCCAGGAATCAGTTTCACACGCGCCGTATAGGTGATTCAGGTGAACACTAATTACGGAAGGCACTGGTTCTCAAATTTGGCTGCACACTGAAATCACCTAGGAAGTTTTAGTTTTAATCCAGATATGGGTACCAATCACCAAAATTCTGATTCGATCCATCTGGGTTGGGGCCTGAGCTTCAGGATATATGTATATACCCATGTATGCAAACATATTTATGTACATATATACATTTACCAGAAAAATTTGATGGATACACACAATTGGGGCCGCACGGGGCCCGCGGGGGCGTGAGGGGCGTGAGGAGCGTGGAGGGCGTCCGCCGGGCGCATCGCGAACCGGGTCCCTGTCTCCGGAAGTCCGTCCAGGAATCAGTTTCACACGCGCCGTATAGGTGATTCAGGTGAACACTAATTACGGAAGGCACTGGTTCTCAAATTTGGCTGCACACTGAAATCACCTAGGAAGTTTTAGTTTTAATCCAGATATGGGTACCAATCACCAAAATTCTGATTCGATCCATCTGGGTTGGGGCCTGAGCTTCAGGATATATGTATATACCCATGTATGCAAACATATTTATGTACATATATACATTTACCAGAAAAATTTGATGGATACACACAAAACTTTTTGAAAATTCATTTTCAAATAAAATTTAAAAGAGCAGTAACATAGAGGTCCTCTATCCCCTTTGCTTAGAGTCTCTACTTGTTAACTTTTTTTTACATTTGCTGCATCACCCTCTATAAATATCCCCATTTTTCTTTTTCTAAAGCATTTCTTCAGTCTTGCCCTGTCTCCATGACTTTGATGATTTCAAAGAGTAGAAATCTTTCATTCTGGAGGCTGTCCCTCAACCTGGGTCTGTCCAGTGTTTCTTCTTGCCCAGTCCCAGGTTGCGCCTTCCCCTCAGAGGCTCCGTGAAATGGTGCTCAGCTTTTCTCACTTTGTAGTATCAGGAGAAACATGATGTTGACCTGTCCCACCGCTGGCGATGTTAACCTTGATCACTGGGTCAAGGTGTTGTCTGCCAGGTTCCTTCACCATAAGTTAACAAATTTTTCCTTTTAATTGACAAATATTTTGTGAGGCGATATCCTTAGCCTCCTTGCTGACTCCTGCCTAAATTAACCACTACTCTTCTAGCCAAATGGTTGACATCCTAGTAAGGGGAAGAGCTTTCCCTTTTACATTTATTTATTCATTTTGTATTTATCTCAGAATGAGTTCATGAATTTCTATTTTATTCAACAAGATGTAATTCATTCACATCATTATTTATTTGGTGCTCAGATTATCCCAGATCTGGCATGTGGGAGCCCTTGCAAGTCGGCTCCTCTATCCTTTTGTTCTGATCCCGCATCATCCTTTGAGTGCTTTCTGACTTGTGCCAAAAAAGCACATGTTCCAGTGTCATCTTGAATTTTCTCTGCCCCAACCCTGGAATCAGTCAACTCTTTTAGTGGAAAATGGGATTTAGAAACCAAGATCTGGATGCTTCATTCCTTTGGAATGTCTTTGCTTTTAAGCCCTTTTTGCAGACAGGAAATACACATATGTACAGACACAAGTGCACACACTTATATAGCTATATGCATAGCTGTGGGTATATAATGGATTTAAGAAGCATGAGTTCCCCTCCAATTCCAATCCAACACCTCAGATTCCTCTCAAGTTACCCCTTTCCATGCTTAGAACTCCCTTCTCCAACAGTGAGAAACTTGACTCCCTGTGGTAAAATGAGAGTTTCTGTGGCCAGGATTCTCACCGGGCCATGGTTGACTAGCTCACTGCACACCTGTGGGCAATACATGGCTGTTGACTCTATATAAAGAGCTCCACCCAATGGTCTGGGCATGACACAGTGGCAGGGCTGCAGGAGAGCAGAGCAGAGGCTGGAGTGGTGGCAGCGCCGAGAACAGAGGCCCAGAGGAAGACTGTGCGGGACGACTGTGCAGAGAGGCCTGGAGGATGGCTGTGCAGACAGAGGGGCCCAGGGACAGAGATCGGCCTGCTGCATACAGACTCACTCTGAGTGAATGGAATTTTAGTGACTGACCTGCCACTGTGAGAATAAAGTTGGGTATAACCCTTTCACCCCAAGAACATTTTGCTGTCATTTTCTTTGGTCACATTGAATCCATAGCAAACTTGCCTGGGGCTGAAACCCATTGGCAAGACACTCCTAATATCCTCAGTATATTTATTTGCTCAGTTCCACATATATGCCATTTCCTAGCCACAGAAGCCAGCTCCTTGGCCCCATCTCCTTCTCAGTTCCTGACATGGCACTGCTCCAAGGGAAGGACAGGGGAAGAGGACACCCCCAAATGCTTAACTGGGGTCCCTGAGCAGTGGACCTGAGAATGAGAATGAGCATATTGCTGGCATTTTTCACAATAAGCATGTGTCATGTCTATGATTTAAAAATTTTATTTTTCTAGAGGAAAATTTTGTTCTAAGTTCATTTGGTATTGTCTGCTAGCAGGCACGTAGAAGGCAACAAGTGCCAACTGTGTGGAGATAAAGCTTCAAATGGAGAGAGTTTACCCATTTTGTTTCTTTGAGCATCAAAAAGGACACTATTGACATTATTCTATTTTATTGCCAGTCCCTTGAGTGGACAAGCTGGTGTGCATATTGGTGTGAGAACACCAGACAATTCCTTTATATGTGCACTCTCCATCAACTCCAGCTATAACTTTCTGGCCTCTTGACAGTTAAAGTCCTACCTTGAGCCATCTGTTCTGAGGAGAGCAATCACGGGAACTTATTTGAGCTAAAGCGTTACACCTGATAGTGACTTCATGCTGCTGTCTTGCCACCACCCAATACTGTGACAGCCTAATGAACAAAAAAGGTTATTTCTCCCTGCCCTGGCAGCATGAAAGGTGTAGGTCAGCAGTGCTTCTCTGCTCCTCATCGCTGAGGAACCTGGGCTCCTTCCGGTCACTGCTCCTGGGTGTCATTTCCGGAAACACAGCTGTCCTGTTACCAGCTTCTGCCATCACCAGGGCCAGGCAGGGATCAGGCCTCCCAGCAGCAATGTCCTCAGAACATTCATCCAAGACGAGGTTCAGAGCAGGGTCATAACCTCTTCTGGGAATTCCAAGCAGATGCCAAGGGACTTCCTTCAGGGGGTAGGTGCTTACACAATCTCTGGGAGGGCTCGAGGAGCATGAGGAGCTCTGAGTTCAGAACACACACCAAAGCTGCAGTCCCGGGAGCAGGACGCCCCTGTCCCTACAACTGCCACCTGGCCCCCAGGGCTGAGGAAGGGGCCCGAACACAGCTGCAGAGAAACACCGCCCCCTGGCTTATCCGCAGGAAGAAGACAAAAGGACAGAGAGTGAGCTCTGCCTCTGGTACACGCTCTCAGTCTCACAAAACTGTTCCTAATGAAATCATCTTAATTGGCATCCAGAACCCAGGAAACACGGGGTTCTGGAAAAATGGAGCTTTGGCCTTCCTGCCTCTGCTGTGCAAAAAGACACCGGGAAGAGGGAGGATGGGGGTTGAGGGTGCCGATTCACATTTTATCTTCCAACTCAAGATGCAGAAAAATGGCCTCTTGCTTCATCTTGTGCCCCAGCAGATTCCCCTCTTCAGTCTTTCCTGTTCCTTACTCTGCCTCATCTACATGTGCCCTTGGCAGCCCCTCGTCACACAGACCAGATCATGGATAAGACACAGCGGCCTTGAGCTCCTTAGCTCAGTCAAGACATGAAAGAGCTACTAAAAAAGTTTGATAAGGGGAGGCAAAGAATGACATTTTATAATAAATGTCCAGAATTCCTATCCAAATCAACTTGGAAATTGCACACTATTATTCATATTCACATAAATTCATATTATGATTTTTGCATACTATTTATTACATAGTACATATTATTTTTATCTCACCACATTCCTGGGAACTAGACTTTATTCCCATTGTACAGATGAGAAAATCAATGCCAGAAAAGTGGAGTCATGCTGCTGGTCAGTGGCCAAGCTGAGCCTAGAACTCAGATTTCCAGCCCCACTGATCTGATGGCCTCTATTACCGAGGTCATAGGGCCCAGACTGACCTGGCCCACCGGCACACAGACCCTACTCCTCTCTTGAGGCCCTGCTTGCCATGCCCCACACTTCACATACCTGGAAGCCCCTCCTCCTCTACCCACAGTAGAATGACCTGGGGTTAATATCTTGGCCACATCACCAGCAGGGTTAATGTGGGTTAGAAGTGCTTCTCCACCAAGAATGGAGAAGAGGAACAGACTCACAGGCTTTGTCCCCAGGAAGCTAACAAAAGGTCATTTCCTCACAAGGACCTTCAGCCAGAGGGCCTGTCATTTCTGCTGCTGTGCTTCAGCAGCAGCCAGTAGCCTCAAGCTCCAGCAAGATACAGAAAGATGCCTGTCAGCCTCTTGGAGGGGGAGGTGGAAGCCTGGACCTGGAGGCTGGGGTGGCCTCACAGAAGAGCTAAGACTTGAGCAGGGCTGGAGGGTTAGTCACGGGTGAGAGGGGAAGAGCTTCTGCAGCGCAGGGGTCATAGGATGGCTGGGCAAGTCATTCAAACTCTGTAGGCGTCATCTTGCTGTCTGTGAAGCAGAGGTTATAATAGAACATTCCTCATACTGAGGAGTCAGGCCTTTGGTGTGATGTGAACAGCCAGTGCTGTGCAGTGGGGAGTCCACAGCTGTGCACTGTCACAAGCTCATCCTAGGCATTAATTTCCTGATTCACACAACAGGCTCATGTACTCCAATTTTTTCACAAAGGAAAATTGAGACACAAAAGTCAAAGAGTTGGCCTTCCCAGCTAGAAAAGGGCAAAGCTATGATTGGACCCAGTCTGGTCCCAGAGCCCGGGTCTATAACCACCAATATCTCCTACCTCACATAATTCCCATTACATTGTGAACGATGGTTGCAATAACAATGATGATTTATGAACCTATAGAATGTCCAGAAACTCAGCTGTTGTACAGAAAAATGCCTGAATGACCCAGGCAGAGGGTGTTTTGAGCAACAGTACAGAAGCTGTAATCAGAGCTAGTTAAGGGGACACTCAGCCACCGGGCTCGGTTCCAGTGACCCAGCAGCAGAGATGTCAGGAAAGACTCGTCAGAGCCACCTTGAAGAGGGCCTGGCATCCCGGTCCTGGGACAGACACAGCTGGGAGTGGGAAGTGCTGTGAGATCCAAGGAGGGTAAGGTAGCCACAAAAGCATGGCTTTGAGGGGAAAGAGGAAGCAGGGTGCAGGCTGCAGGAGTGGGCAGGATGGAGGGAGCTCAGTGGCAGAGCTGTGCCATGGATACTGTGCTCTGTGGGGCCTTGTCCTGCAGGCGGAAGCCTTCTTGATGCTCAGCTGGCCAGCCCCACTTCTATCCTAAGTCTCCCCTCCCAAAACCAGGGCAGATCTCCTCACTTTTCCATGACCCTCACTGGAGTCTGGGACTTTCATTGGTGGAGGGGGGCCCTGAGGTTGGTGGGCTTTGAGCCACAGGACTTGCTAGCAGCAGACAGAGGTAGAGGTACTTACAGGTGGCCTTTGTAAAAGCAATACAAAGGGAGAGGGTCTTTCCCCTAGGCCTGGTGTAGACATACAGGGGGGGATTGGGCCAAGGCCCTGACCCAGTTCTGGATGTGCGGGAGCAAGTGTTACAAGAATTCTGGAGCATAGAGGGCTAGGGCATTAGCTGGCAGAAGATACTCAGAGTTGCTGCCTAGACACACAGATACATTTTCCTCTAAACTAGTGACTTCTGTCATCCTCAAAATGCTGTGCCGTCTTCCAGAATGTGTTCACTGTCCTGACTAAGAAATTGTTCCCTGCCCCTAGAAAACCAGGTCTGGGAGCTCATTTAATTAACCAAAAAGTCTATGCCACCTTCTTCCTATGCTAGAGTCAGGCTCTCCCCTAAATCATAATGTCTAGACCCCAGCCTCTATCAGGTTGGGTCGTTATACCCAGAAAGACTGGAAACAGCGGCTCTGGGAGAAAAGGCTGTGGGCACCAGGCTGCCAATGGCACCCCCATGTGGTGGTGATTGTCTCTCACAGCCTGTTGTTGCCACCCACGCAAGCCAGGGTCACCGAAAGTGGCGCTTTGCAGGGTGGGGCAGGCACTCCAGGGTGACAAGTTGACCACTTCCTCCCAGGACAGCTGGGATTTCACTCTCTCTCCCCAGATGGCTCCGCTCAGTCTGTGGAGAACTTGATTCCTCTGCCTTTCTGACTCTGGGGGAAATTGCAGCTTTCAGAACCTCCTCTGGAGGAGAGGGAGGGCCAGCCCAGGCATGGGAATTGACCCCGGAGTGTGAACAGGAGAGGGTCCTGCATGCTCACCTGTTGCTGTTCTGCTAGCTCTAGACCACAGGCCCTGGTGGGCTGGTGAGGATGAAAAGCCTGCTGCCCCAGGGTGTCACCACCCCATCTTTCAGGCTCCGCAGGCCTCCTTCCTGTGGCTGTGAGAAGGGGCTGGATGTCCTAACTACCTCGCCTCCCTACTAGATAGAGCATGGGCTTCATGAGGGCTGGGATTTTTATCTGTTTGGTTCACTGTTGAATCCCGAAAACGTAGAAGAGTGTTTGGTACACATAGTAGAGGTACAATAAATATTCTTTGAATGAATATTGATAAAAATTAAAATTCTTTAAGTATATTTAATGGTGATGAATCTTTAGACATTAAACAAAGTACCATTGACATAAATCAAAAGCTATTAGAAAAAGTGTGGCAAAGTGATAACATAGAGAAATATTAAATAGGAGAGAATTTTTTAAATCCTCTTAGAGAAATTGATAGGTTAAGTAGATAAAACTTGAATGATGATATGAAATATCTGAATAATGAAAATTACAAGCTTATGTAATAGATAAGCCTATGAAACAACTATAAAAAGTGAGCATATGCTAGGCCACAAAGAAAATCTCAGAAAATTCCAAAAAAGTAGAACATCTAAACACTGGCTCCTACTTCTTTTTAGTATAAGCTAGGAAAATCCTAAAACAAAGAATAGAAACACATACAAAGAAAACAATAAACCCTTCTCTATATATCTATATTGCCATGGATACAAGGAATATCAAGGAATAAACTAACAGGAAATCAAACCCAGCAACAAAAGTAAATCTAAAAAATAAAACTATGGAGGTACTACAAGAAATGTAGCAAAATGGTATTTCAGTTCTGGGAGAATGAATGTCTAAGACTGATAAAAAGCTAAGAAGCCATAAAAGAAACAGCCAAAAGGAAAATATGAATACAAACAGATTAAAGTCCTGGTCAACCAGAGATAACAGAAAATATTATTTCTGGTTATAATGGAGTAACTGGACCAGCCCTTTCGCTGTAAGCAACTAGGAAACTGGGCAAAATACATGAAATAATTGTTTTCACACATTGGACAACAGGCAGAGCAAAACTGTGATCAGAGTTCCTGGGTAGGGAAGCCAACTGGTAGAGCCCTTAGCCCCATGGGTCTCTTGCAGACCACAGTGCAGGGAGGAGGGTCCACACCTTCACACTAAGCTGGAGAGAGAAAGATGGGAGTTTGGGGAAACTTAAGCATGCTGGAGTTTGCAGAGGATATGAAGGGCAAAGAAAGAGTTCAGAAATCTGCACAGGATTCCCTGTGCATGCATAGGATGGGACTCTGCAAGGCAAAGCAAACAACTGCTCTAGAATTCTCATTCCAAATTGAGCTGGCAGAAAGCTGAGTCCCTGGAAGGGTGACAGGACCACAAGAAGAGGCTGAAACCTCTTCTTCAGAGGTAAGGTTCTGAGAGTTAACAGTCTAAAGATGAGATGGTGCCAGCCACAGGAGAATAAAAGTTTTTGGAGTAGTTCAAAGGCCTGGAAAAATCCAGCTCCAGCCCCATCTGTAACAGAGGAACACCTGGGATGGGTTCTAACTTCCTGGGAATTGCACCCCCTGCCATGTCCCTGTAGTTTGTGTTAAACCTCTGCTGTTTTGTGAATGAACTAACTAAATGTTCCTAGATGTAAAGCCCTTAAAGAAAGATGTGCTTGTTGCAGGGCAGAAGGAGCAATAAAGAAGGAGAACCAATCCAGGAAGAAGAGTACATGGCTGTCAAAGAGATAAGCACAAAGCTTCCATTCATCCAACTAAGTATTTATTTATTTGCTGAGAGGCATGGGAATACTCTTGCACTGAGTCCTCGATCCTACTGGGTCATATGAGGTACATGTGTTCAAAGAGTTAAATAAAAGGACAGAGCAGATAAGAAAGGCCAAATGGAAGGCCCCAGAGAATGAGTTGGGCTCAGAGGCTCACAAGGCTTCCTGAAGGAGAGGGCCCACAGCTGGCAGCAGCACAGGCCCCTCACCCTGGCTCACCTCAGGCCACCCCCTGGTCAATGGGCTTCTTGCAGACCCAGTGATATGGGGTGTCACAGGCCATGTCATTCCACTTCTGCTGAACATGGACACAGTCTTCAGTCTGCCCGTTCTTGTGCTGCCAGTTATCTGGCTGATTCCTATCCCAAAACCTGGAAACAAGAGGGCTTTATTCTGCTGCAGGAAGGTGCTGTCCCTTTCCCCCACTGGTGCATAGGGAGCTGAAGTGACATGGGTCCCTAATCACCTGGTGGCCTCAGGATAGGGACAGAGCTGGGGCTAGGGGAGCCTTTGAGGGAAGCTTTGCTGAGGTTGTCCTTAATTACTGAGAATCAAGGGAGAGTAAGAGTATCTGAAGCTTCAAACCCCCACCCCAGAATTCACATTCAGATACCTTCTGATGAGGCAGGTATCTCCCATTCCTTTGCACTGGCCATACCAAGTGCCTATGGAAGGGATACGATACACAAAACAAAACAAATAGGAAGACCTACTCATTGAGACTCACTCATGCCAGCCCCAGGACCTGTCCTGCTCAATGCCCCTCTGTGGAGAGGTCCAGGTGAGGATTACAACTATGCCTGGGTGTACACACACAGACCACACACATCATACACATCACATACACAACCCATACACACAGCACACACAACCATCATACACAATTATAGCACACATGCAAATGCACACAACACTAACACTGGCTGGGCAGGGATACACACAAGATAGGGACACACAGGAGCCAGGCCTGCCCAAGACAGTGCCCAGGACAGCACCAGACGGTGGCTGGACTCACGCTCTGATCTGGGCATTACTGAATGGTGTTCCATCCACCCAGCGCCAGGAGCCCTCTGTGCCCCTGTCAGTGAGGCCAATCCAGTGGTAAGAGGTGCCTGTGGTCTCTGTCAGAAATGCCTGTAGAGAAAAGGTGGTGTTGTTTGACCCTGCGTGAGGAGCTGTTCTCCTGGTCTCATGGAGGAAGAGTCCAGCTCATCCCCTCCCTGGGCCTGGGGGCATGAAGCCCACTCTGTAGGAGCTGGCCTCTTCCTGTTTGTCCATGGTTTATCCAAGACCAAGGGCAACAGCCAGGTCCCCACAGAGGAAGTCTAGGTCTTCCCATCTTGACTTGATGAGGAGTGTGGCTTTACTGGGACAGAGCTAGACCTGCCACAGTTTACTAAGATGTGTTTTACAAAATAGCATGTCCTTTGACAGACACACAAGAACAGTCTCAGGAGAACCACAAGAGATGGGCAGTTCTATGGGCTGGACTGGACCAAACCTATTGTGGCCCTCTATAATAACCCTAATAAACTCTAATAATGACCTTCTGCAATGGGCTACCCAGGGACTATTATTTTGCCTTTGGTGGAACTCAAACTCCTAGTATGTGTCTGGCCTTCCCAAGAAGTCTGGATCCCCTGCGCATGGGCCTTCCACGGCCACTGGATTAGTTGACTTTAAAACCAAGACTTTCAACTAGAAAGGAGGAGGTACAAATGAGGGGATGGAGAGGGAAGTATGCCCGCCCCCATTACTCTGAGGGCAGCCACCTGGTGCTACCTTCCTCCCTGCTGACATCCATGGGCCTCTAGATGTGTCCCTCATTCATTCAGGACACTGGGGTTTGCTGTCAGTGCTTTTGCCCCTGGTACAAGATGCTCATGGGAACTCATTAAATATTTGCTCCCTGGCCAGCAGAGGAGACATGAAGATCTCTGCCCCACCCGCTCCAAGAGAAAGCAAGCTAAACTCCGAAGTCCCTTCCCCACACCCACCCCAGGCCCACAGCTTTCACCTGCTCCTCCTCAGAGGTCACCGAGGCCAGGTGAGCTCCCTGGAACACGCAGAACTGCTCAGCCTCATGCCAAGACTTCTTGACACGAGAAAAGTAATACAAGCTCTTGCTGTAGACCTTCCAGCCTTGCAGGATCAGCTGGAGAAGTTGATCTGGAGCAAAGGTTGGGGAGGAGAGAGAACCAGGGGCTGGCTATGGATGTCCGGGAGCTGGCCCTCCTGACCTCTCCAGAGACCGACACTGAGGGTCTCAGGCCAATGTAATGCCTGATCCCAGTGCTCTGGGGACAAGGCCTGGGAAGCGCACCCCCAGCCCACTACCCATTGTGCCAGGAAGCAGAAGCTCAGGACACCTGGCTCCATCACCCCAGGGATCCTCACACAGCTTTGCTACCCAGGCAATACTGTCTGTCCAGATCTCTGATTTCTGGCACTGTCTTCTTTCCCAACTCATTGCTGTGCCCTGACAGTGCCCTGCCCCTCAATTCCTGTCATCTCCCTGGGAGATTATACAGCCATCCCACAGTGTCACTCATTTCCTTGAATTCATCTCCATCCACTTCAGCTGTCACACCCAGAACCATCCTTTGGACTTGGTCTACCCAACCTCACAACTTCAAAGTCTAATAGCTCCTACCATTAGCACAAGGCCCGAGTCTAGTCTCAGCAATGTCATCCCTCCCTGCCATGACACTCTGCTCTTTCATACCATCTATACCACAGCTGTCTGAAATGATACCACAGCAGACTCACTTATTCATCCACTTATTCTTTTGCTCAGCACTCCTGGTTCAACATTCCTTAAATTCTACAAATCAGGGACTGTTACACAAAGATCAATAGACTATGAGTCATGCCTCCAGGTAGCTTACTATAGTAAATAAGGCAGATATAAAACAGATGTCGAAGTTGGACTGATTTGAAAACTACATGCATCGTAGAATAGGGGTATGAAAGGAGGTGTGGTTTTAACCTGGGCTGGAAATGGGGCTCGGGAAGGACACCCTAGGTGAGAAGTCATCTGAGCTGAATCTTGAAAGAATGAGGAAGACTTTGCCAGACAGTCATGCCAAGAAGAGCATTCTAGGCAGGGGAAGGAATGGACACAGAAGCATGAAGACGTGAAACAGAGTGGCACAGCCTAATTTGTTCAAGCACTTGGTATGGCCAGTGCAAAGGGATGGGAAATAAACCTGGGCAAGTTCACCAGCACTAAATCATACATCCCGTGTGAGGGAGTTTGAGTTTTCTACCCTGTGAGCAATGGAAGCCCTGGAAAGTTTTAGGAAGCCTGGTAATATGCTCAGATTTGTACTGTAAAAATGTCCACTAGCGACAGTATGGAGACTGCACTGGAAAAAGGCAGTTCTAATTGGGCCAGAGACACCAAATAGGGCACAACTGCAAATGTCCATGTGAATATCCCCAAAGCATCTCAGCCTCAGCATGCACAAATCTCACTGCTCTTCTTCCCCTTCTATTCCCTGTCTCAGTCAGGAGACCCACCTGCTCAGCCTCCTGGAAGCCCTCCAATAGATCCTCATTTCCTGAAGGATGAAGCCCAAGGTCACAGGCCTTCCACATATAGCCGATATCTCTCCAGGTCTGCCTACCTTCCTAGCATAGTGTTGTTCAAAGTGTAATCAATCATCAACCCGTTAGGTTGGGTGAGGGTTTTTTTTTTAAGAAAAGATTATAAAATACCAGAGTGCATTCATGGGGTAGAAGTTTTGCTTTTTTAAATGCAATGTGTGTGTGTGACTGTAACACAAGTAATCCTTCTGAATCACAATGTAAAATGAGTTTCATGCTGTGGTCACATTCAAAACAGTTTGAAAGCCACACTCTGGCCCCACCTGCTGTCCTTTCAGGCTGCACCTCAACTGGCCTCTTGGCCATGTCCAGTCAGACAGAAGTGCCTGAAGGTTCCTGAACCTCACCACTTCACATCTCCATGCCTGCAAACTGGCCGCTCTCTTACCCCAGTTGTTTGGTAAACACCTACTAATCCTTTACGACCCAGTTCAAGGGCCATCTTCTCATCAAAGCATCTTTTGATCTTTTCTCCCCAAAAGATTTCTTCCCTGCTCCCCCCCAAAGATCCTTTCTTTCCCTTCTTTTTGCTCCCCCTCATCCCCAGTTCCTAGACCTGCTGCTAATGTGACACCCCTTATGCCCCCCCACATGTCTTTCATGTGAGGCTGCTCCACCAGCCTGTATGCTTCCAGGGCAGGCATCTCATCTGAGGCAGCTTTATGCCCCTAACACATAATAGTAGCTCAAAAATTCTGTCAGATGAATCCATGAATGCTGGGTCCATTGTTGAATGCTTCACATGTGTGAACTCATTGCATCCTCACTGTGAAGCAAATATTATTGTCCCCACTTTGCAGATGAGAACAGCAAAGCTCAGAGAAGGTGAGCAACTTGACCAAAATCACCCATTTGTGACAGCAGGAAGTCAGAAATAAGGCTGTCTGGCTCTCCTAATACAATTGTCCTCATTTCACACCCTTACCATGCAGAGTTTGTTTCCCAGGGCTTCATTTTGACACTCTGGCCAAATGCTAAGCAACTTGAGAGCAGGGACTACTCTTATGCCACCTTCCCTACTGCCTGGGAACATGGAACCTATTTGGTTGAGCTCAACCCCTCTCTAGCACCCACACTCCTTCCCAGGGAGATGAATGCTGAAGTACACACAAGGCTGAAAGGATAGGGGACTCTCCTCCCAAGAGACTGTACCCTCCATACCCACGCCCTCCACCCACTTACTCTGGGTCCTATGTAGCTGCTCCTGGGAAGCAAAGGCCTCTTGTAGCGTCTGCAGGCTACTCTGCTGCTCTTGCATTTTTGTAGTTAGTGTTCTGGTGTTCTCCGATTCCCCCTTTAACCTCTGGATTTCAGCATTGGCCGTCTGCAGATTGCTCTCTAACATCTGGGTCTTGGAATTTAAGGCCGCAGCATCCTTCATTCCTTGTTTTAGGGTCTGGATCTCTTTGCTGGCATTTTTCAACTTGCCATTTAACACCTGCATCTTGGAATTTAAGGTACTGGCAGATTCCAGCTCTGCTTTGAATGCTTGGATCTGAGCATCTGTCTGCTCCAAGTGGCCATTCGCTATTTGGGTCTGGGCAGTGAGTGTTTCCAAATTTCTTTCTAACAGGTGAGTCTCATTGCTAGCTCTTTCCAGATGACCTCTCAATGACCGGATCTCAGCACTGGTGTTATCTAAACCTTCTCTTATAAAGGTCTGAATATGGGAGTTAAAAGCATTTGCATTTTGTAGACTTCCCTTTAGCCTCTGGATCTCAGCATTGGCTCCCTCCACACTACTTCTTAAAATCTGATTCTGGGCTCTTAAATCATTGATGGTATCCAGATCTCCTCTCAAAGCATGGATCTGCACATGAGCATTCTTTAAACTACGGTTTACCAACTGGGCCTGAGCGTTTGCCATGTCCAACCCTGCCTTCAACATCTGGATTTCAGCATTGGCATTTTCTAAGCCTGTGCTTACTATTAGGAGCTCATCACTGGTGTTTCCTAAACTGCTTTTGAAGAAAGTCTGAGCCTGGGAATTTAAGGAATTTGCCTTTTCCAGATCTCCCTTTAGCTTCTGGATCTCAGCACTGGGCCCCTCCAAGGAGCTCTTTAACATCTGGTTCTGGAAACCCAAGGTACTGGCATCCTTCACAATGCCTTTTACCATCTGGATGTCAGCACTGGTGTTTTCCAGATGAGCACCCAGCATCCGGATCTGAGAATTGACAGTGTCCACTCTGCCCGTCAGCATCTGGATTTCCACACTCCAGGTGCTGGAATTCTTCACAAAGCCTTTAAACGTCTGGATTGCTTTTTGCAACTCTGCCACCCTGCAAAGGTGATAGGAATCTGGAGGGAAGAAATGGAAAAGGCAGCTAAAAAGGCCCATTTCATACAGAAGCATTCATTATATGGGCCAACCAAAGTGGACTTAAAATGACCAAGGGAAATGTCTCCAGCACAGCCCTGAATGCTCCTCAAGCAGCCTCGTGCTCACTGTGACCACCCAGTCAAGGCAGATGGACCACCTGAGAGTGTGGGCCACAAACTGACATAAAGGTCTACTTGGCTACCCCACATCAACAGAGAAGCAGAAGGATGAAAATACTTGCCTACTTACTGTAAGCTAGCTGCAACCAAGAATCATGGTAGCAAGGTTTAGATTATTTTGCCATTGTTACTGAACTTGAAAGTAACATATTATTTAGAGCTGTTGGGATTTAATTTCACTGAAATTATAATGTTGGAACATTAGATGGGTCATTATGAAAAAGAAGCTAGGTATGAATAAAGCTCATGTTTAGTCCTGCCTCTATTCGTACACCAAGCATGACACCTCTTGATTAATCTTTGTTACCTCCTGAGAACTATGTAGACCACAAACACAGAAATTTTCTAATCACAAATTCCCTGCAAAAAAAAAGAAACAAAACAAAATAGGTGGCAGAAACACTCTGTAATCCACAGGGCATTGGTGGCCTTCCAGTGACCCTGGCCCCTGGAGCTGAAATGGCCTTTTAAAGGTCTGGCACCCCCAATGTTACATAGAGCAAGGGTGCCTACAGAACAGTTTGAGGATATGCGAGACCTGAGTGAAGGAATTTGGCTGTTGGGGTCATTCAAGGACACTGTTGCCCCTTCCACCTGCATGGCCTTTCCCCACAAACCCACCTGAGCTGCCTCTTCCTACTAGCACCCTTTGCTCACCACAAGAGCTAATCTCAGACACTTATGGCCTAAGGCTCCTGATGCCAGCCTCCCCTCAGGAATAGCAAGAAGGACCCAAGTAGGAAGGGGCCCTTTCTGGAGGAGTCTACCCACCCTTTTCCTCGAGTCCTGCCTAGGTAGGTGTATGAGGCCTCAGCCACTATGCTGGGTCAGATGGCCTTGAACTGTGTGGGAAATCCAGTCAAATATTCTGCCTTGTAAAGATAGACAAATAGATCAATGGAACAAAACTCCAGAAATAGAACAGAAATCCAGAAGTAGGGACAATTGATTTGCAAAAAAAATACAAAGGCATGGAGCTCAAGGGTATTATGCTCAGTGAAATAAGCCAGGCGGAGAAAGACAAGTACCAAATGATTTCACTCATCTGTGGAGTGTAACAACGAAGCAAAACTGAAGGAACAAAACAGCAGCAGACTCACAGAACCCAAGAAGAGACTAGCGGTAGCCAAAGGGGAGGGTGGGTGGGGAGGGAAGGAGAAGGGGATTGAGGAGTATTATGATTAGTACACATGGTGTGTGTGGGGGGCACAGGGAAGGCAGTGTAGCACAGAGGAGACAAGTAGTGACTCTGTGACATCTTACTACACTGATGGACAGTGACGTCAATGAGATATTGATAATAGGGATGAATGGGATTTGATAATAGGGATGAATGTAGTAACCACAATGTTTTTGATGTGAAACCTTCATAAGAGTGTATATCAATGATACCTTAATAAAAAAAGTTTTAAAATACAAAGGCAATTCATGGAGAAAGGATAACCCTTTCAACTAATGGTGCTGGAACAATTTGTATATCCATATGCAAAAAATATTTTTTAAAAAGAACCTCAATCCATACCTCACACAATTATACAAAAAATTAACTCAAAATCAATCACAGACATAAATATAAAACCATTAAAAACTATAAGATTTCTAGAAGAAAACATAGAAAAATGTCTTGATAACCCTGGGATAAACAAACATATTTCAGATCTAAGACCAAAAGCACAATTCATAAAAGAAAAAAGATTGATGAATTAGACTTTATCAAAATTTAAATCTTGTTAAAAAAATGAAAAGCTACACTTATAGAAAATATTTGCAGATCACGTGACTATTAAAGGACTAAAAAAATAATACATATTTTTACATAAAACTCTAAAAAATGCCAAATAACCTATACTATAGTGGGTAAACCAGTGGTTGACTGGGGGTGATGAGAAAAGTGGGGAGGGAGAGATGACAAAGGGTACAAGTAAAATTTGGGGGAAGGATGATGAATATGTTCATTATCTTGATTGTGGTGATGGTTTCACAGATATATACATATGTCAAGACTCACTAGATATATACTTTAAACGTGTACTTCATATGTCAACTGTACCTCAATAAAGCAATTTTGTAAAAAAAATCATGCCTGTCTAGGAGGAGAGCAGAATCCATTCAGGGGCCTGGAGTGTCAGGGGAGAGGCTCATCCTAGGGTCTGGGCACCTGAAAGCCCAGCTCTCTGCTACCCAGCCTCCCTCCTCTGCTAGCTACTCACTGTTGGGGTCCACAGGTAACTGCTCGGTAGTGTTGTCTCCCAGAACCATGTCTTGAAACTCTTGGAAGGAGGAATATGCTTCCAGGGCAGGTCTTGAGTTCTGTAGAACTGAGATACCCCATTCCAGGGTCAGCATAGTCCCTCAGCACTGAGCCTCAGGGAACAGAGTGGCCCACCCCCAGTTAGGATGCCAGAAGGAGGGAGAGGGTACCAGGAACCCTTCAGAGTTTCTCTCATGGGCCTCAGCCCTTAGGAGGCTCTCCTTGGATAGCGGCCTTGCTTGGATTCCAGGAAAGTTCTGGTTTAGGGGCTGGAGGTGGACTCACCTCCTGGGAGCAAAAGGTATGTGTCTGGGTCCCTTTGGGGCCTTTATGCAGGAAGGAGAGCAAGTCAGTGGGGTGTGGGTCACCTAGGAGCTTACCGACAACACAGAGAGCCACAAGAGAGGAGATCAGGGTTATGGCCATAAGAGCCACCGTGGCCCGAACAAGCCTTGGCATCTTGAGGATTGCGGGAGCTACTGCCTCAGAGTCCAGCCCTGCAGAGGAAAAGCAAGAGTCCAGGAGTGCTGTGTGGGCTGGACACAGTCAGCCCCTTGGGTCCAGTTGGTCGGCCTGACTGAGGGTGAGTACACCTGCCACCTTACCATAGAGAACAAAATGCTCCTGGAACTAACTGGGGTGTGGTAGCCACACAAAGGCTCAGAGAAGACCACAGCCCAGAACCCAGAGGAAGGGCACTGGGCCCAGAACCTGGCGCTGCGGACGAGTATGATGGAAGTGTGGTTTGAATGAAAGGAGGGGGAGAAGGAGGAACAGAGAAGCAGCCCTGACCTCGGAGTCCCAGAGCCAGTCTTTGCTCAGGACTCCTGACCGACCAGAGTGTGGCTCGCTACCCTTTGGGACTGCTGCCTCCCCCCAAAACTGACATGGCCAGTCCTGGAGTTCCCTCTGCTGGGGACAGGGCGTCCTCTCCCCACTCCCGTGGGTGTCCTAGAAAGGGCTGTGCCTGGTTGTCTGGGGGCTGTTTAGGGATAGAGTGAGCAGGGAAATCCACTCAGAGGTGGAGAAACACTGGCCTGGAGTCCCTGAGGCCTCATGGGGCCAGCCCACTGTGCAGAGATGGGCTTCAAAACCAGGTCCCTCGGAATTCAAAGTTCATTCTCTTCCTCTTGCCAGGTTGCCATCCCTAAGGAAAAGAATCTGAGGAGATCTACTGCAGAGATGGGGTGTACCCCAGGCTCTCTGTCCTCACCTCTCTGACCCTCACCCCTTCAGCCATTGCATGTTTATTCTAGAAGCTGAGACAGCAATGAGCTGAGTTCTGGCCTGTCAAGGAAAGGCTGAGAAAAACGGCCGAGAGCTGGGAGCCAAGCAGGCCAGTTCCTGATGGAGGGTGAGCTGCCACCCCTATTTCCTCACCTGAAGGGTGCAGGGAGACGCTCTGGCTGTTTGTGCGGAAGTGGACCGTCTCACAGTTCATCTCTGCTTCCTTCTGCTCCCTGCCAGGGCCCCTAAGGTGCTGTCCTAGAGCGTCAGGGATGGGAAGTGAAGTTGACATATCGGGACTTATATGCTCCCCCAGGTCCTGAGCACTGCGAGGCTCCGCCTCCCTCCCCTCCTGACTCTGAGGAAGTACCCCTGGGGCCCTACCCTGGGGCTCTCAGGCGTCACTCGGAGCCTAGCCCCTTCCACTCCCCATCAGCTCCAGCCCTTGCTCCTGCCTGAGGACCGAAATGCCAACCCCCGCTCTCCAGCATAGCCCTCAAACGCCTGCCTCTGTCCCAAAGTCACAAACACCTTTTCACTGGGCCGCTTAGGAAGGGTTTGGAGTTCCTTCTCAGCTTTGCAGAAAAACACCCTTGCGATGCATGGCTGACTCTTAATCCTAGCTCCAGACCCCCTAAGTAACAGGAGATCAGGTAGGAAGGGCTGGGGTGACTTGCTGCCCATTCAGGACCTCACAACTGGCACGACAGGAGTCTGTGGTAGAATAAAAATATATGTTTGGTCCTGGTTCTTGACACAGGACTCCTAAAACCTTTGGAATTTCCTGAGTAATAGAACTGTCTTTTGTTACTTACAACAAGCGCCTTTTGAGCATGCCTGAGTTTATAGTTTTGGGAATAAGAGCTGGTCCCAACTCCCACTGTTCAAACCCCACCCTTGAAAGGGTATCTTGCCACGACCCTCCCTACCCTTCAGAGAGGCACGGACCCACCCAAGAGATTTTAATGGCTGAAAGAGGTAGAGGTAGAGGTAGAGGAAGCATGTTTTTAAGGAGTAGGGGTAGGGTGTGTTCTGCAGTGGTGATTGGATCTTAAGGGGTGGGGCATTTTAGCGCGCCAGAATTTGCCTTCATTCCCATCTTTTTCTTTTCTTAATAGGGGCCTCTGGGGAACTGGGCATAGAGTCTCATTCTCTAGCTACTTCCTGCTGGAAGGGGGCACAGATTTTGGGATTAGCAAGGCCATTGCTGTAGAGTTGGGGAAGGGCGGGCATCTTGAGATGATTCGTGATGTCATCATGGCTTGTTTCATTATTCTTCGTGAGAAGGCTTTGATAGTCCGGGAGGAGCCAGTGGTTGACAGTATGGTTAGAAGTTTTTTGAAATTTGATTTTGAATGAATTTTTGGAATAGGTTAATGAAGCAGAGAAGGAAAAAGAGAATAATAATAATAAAGGTAATAGGGGCTAGGAGGGGCAGGAGCCAATTGAAGGGGTAAGGGAACGAATTGTTAGGGAGTTTTCTAGAAGTTTGGAGGCTTGTTCACAGAGGCGTTTTGCGCCATCCGGGACGAGACCGGATTTGTTGGTGTAGAAGCAGCATTGTTCTTGGAGTAGGGCACATGTGCCATCTTGCGCAGCTGTAAGGAGGTCTAGACCTCTGCGGTTCTGGAGAACAACTGAGGCTAGAGAGTCTACTTGATCTTGCAGGTGTTCTAATTGGTTAGAGTCTTCTTTTAGCCCTTTTGTGAGTTCCCTTGATAGTTTAGCGAATTATGAAAGGGATATTCCTAGAGCTCCAATTCCTATACCGTACCCATGATTATTCCTAGGGTAGCGATTAGGGGAACTAAGTGTACAACACAGTGCACTCTGATGTGGGTTATAGGGGAGACAGGAATGGGTAGGTCAGGTGTGGCTTAAGGAAAGGGTGGGAGTAAGGAGACTTAGAGTACAAGTCCCGGTCCAATTGGTTGGCAAGCAGGCATATGCTCTATCTCCACATACCCAAAAGATGCCTGTTTCCAAGGATAGACATCCTATGAGGTCAAAGCAGGACAAGAGGAGGAGATCTGGGGGTGATTTGGGGAGTAAATGTTGGACTGCCTGAAATTTATGCCATATTTGAAAAGAGGAGCTTAATGCTGCAACTGTTAGAGAGGATAGAGGTGAGGCTGGTTGTATCTTGGCTAGACTTTCTTGGCTGAGAGTTGCATATTTTTGGTTTAAGAAGATTCTACCTTCGGGTATGTTGAGTTGTTTGCATTCTTGGTTTCCCCTATGAGCTAGGGGAGTGTCCTTTAGGGGGTCTTTTCCTCTGTCTTGGGAATATTGGGATGTGGTGGCATTTAGACTGCCTTGGAAAGAGTGATATCCAGGGACTCTTAAGAGAGCTCCTAGTTGGTTAGTATTATGGTGGTTTGGTGGTGGAAGGAGTTGAAGGGTGTGTTTGCAGAGGGAAGGATCTAGAGAGCCTACTGGAATATAGTGGTCTTGTTGGGCTCGAGAAATGCACAAGGGGGCAGGATGGGTCATATGCAGTTAATTTGGGATGGGCCGATAACGGCTCATTGGGGAAGTTGGTGGGTTTTCAAGGTTTGTCTAATGCTTTTTAGTGCTCCGGGTAGTCTGATGTCTGATCCCTCAGCTAGGGCTGTGCCCCTGGGGTTTGCTGTTTCGATGAAGTGAAGTCCTGCTGAGGTATTGATCCAGGCTGTTAAGGGAGCAGGGGTTGCTGAGTCTGCTAACTGAGAAAGGTGAAGACAGACCCAGCAAGGGGGTTAGATAGTTCTGTTAAAGGTTTGGATGATTCGGACTTGTGAGAGATTGTTTGATTGAGGTATGTGGCAAGGGTTTGAGCCATAGGGTTAGAGGTTGAGTGAGTATGTGTTATTAAGAGAATAATGCTTGAAGTAAGAGAATACATGAGGAAAAGGTAGTGATTTCGTTTGGGGAGAAGTCTGGAAGGGTTCCCTGCAGCCATAAATCTTGAATTATTACATGTAAGGGGGTAGAGGGTGAGTATTGGGGAAGTTCTTCTAATAAGATGGCTAGGAAATGAGCAAAGTAATATAAGTTCGGGCTCATAGGAAATGAGTAAAATTATGTAGGTGTTGTACTTATCCTTTTGTATTTTCGGGGGTGTGGTGTTCAGGGATGGCTGGAAGAGATGTAGGCCAAGATGAAAACTGGATTCAGAGAGGTCCTGTTTGGGTTGTAGAGTAGGTTCCTGGAGGATTTGTAGTCTGTGGAGTTGAAGGGGTAAGTGGTCCCACTGGGATGGAGGAGTAGGAATCTGTGGGAGGTTCAGAGGAAGGGGAGAGGATGAGATAAAGGGTTTTATATGGGAGTTGTGGATCCAGTGAGGAAATTTTGTAAGTTCGACTATAGTAGGAGTGGATAGGACCACTTGATAGGGTCCCTGCCATTTGGGAGTTAGGGGTGATGGTCCTGGTTAGAAGAGAGGAGGACTGAATCTCTGGGTTGATAAAAAGTAGAAGAGGGAGGGTCATGAGGCTTTGGCATGTAGAGGTCAGCATGAGACCATAGTAGAGAGCAGATATGTTGGAGTAGTGGAGATATAAGATGAGAAGGAAGAGTGGGGGTTTCAGAGTTAAGACCTGGAGGAAGCATAGGGCAGCCATACATGAGCTGGAAAGGAGAAAGTGAGGTGGCTTTTTAGGTAGAGCCCGGAGTCGGAGCAGAGCTAAAGGGAGAAGCTTTGTCCAGTCGAGATGGAGTTCTATGGATAGTTTGGTAAGGATGGATTTCAGAGTTCGGTTGGTTCTCTCCACCTTACCTGAGGATTACGGATGGTATGGGATATGGAAATGCCAGGGGATATTAAGAGCTTTAGCAGTTGTCTGGGAAACTTGGGAGATAAATTCAGGGCCATTGTCTGATTGTAAGGAAGTAGGTACTCCAAAACGGGGGATGATCTCTGATAACAAAATGGTGGGCACTGTCTGAGCTCATTTGTTGGTTGTAGGAAAGGCTTCAACCCAACCTGAAAATGTGTCTACCAGTACTAGAAGGTATCGGTAGCGCTTTACTGAGGGCATATGAGTGAAGTCAAACGGCCAGTTGGTCCCAGGAATGAGTCCCTGTGCTTGATGAGTGGGAAAAGAAGGAGGTTGAGAAGGTGAATTAGGATTGGCCTTTTGGCAGATTTCACATGAAGCGGTAAGTGTTTTTAGAAAGGTAATGTCTGAAGAGGAGAGAGGTAGGTGGGTTTTTAGAAAGTGTTGTCAAGATTGGAGATTAGGATGAAATAGGTTGTGTAGATAGGAGAGTATGGCTTTAGTAGAAGGTGATTTAGTCAGCAGAAGAGGGATCATTAGGCATAGAAGTGAGAGCACCTATTATAGAAATCATTGCTGCCCGTCTGGCTGCTTCATCAGCTCTGTTATTTCCCTGAGGGATGAAAGATTGATCTGATTGATAAGAGCGGCAGTGTACTACTAGGCCTATGGCAGGTGGTAGGTATGAAGCTTCTAATAGTTGTATGATGTAGTTAGCATTGGTAATGGAGCGGCCCTTGATATTGACGAGTCCCCTTTCTTTCGAGATTGCTGCATGGGAGAGTAAGATATGGAAGGCATACTTGGAATCAGTGTAGATGGTAAGTGAACTTCCCTCTGCTAAGGTATAAGCACAGGTGAGGGCAATTAATTCCGCCTGTTGGTTTGTGGTGTTAGGGGGAAGGGGCTTTACCTCAATAGTTTGATCAAGGGAGATAATGGCATATCTGGCTCGATGGACACCCTCATGGATAAAAGAACTACTGTTGATGAACCAAGTATGTGTGGCCTGAGGGAGAGCTCCCTCCTGGATATGAGAAGGACAGGGTAGTAACTCATCTAGGATTTGTAGGCAGCTATGAGAGTCAGGGGAAGATTCTATTTTTTCCCGTGATTTGGTAGGAAGTGGGAGAAGAGTAGAAGGACTGAGGGGAGGGCAGACTTCAAATTTGATGGAAGTATCTCGATCAGAGCTACTTGAAGTGACAGAATCCTACAAGGGGGAAGAGTCTGTAAGCCCCTGTAGGTGTGGAGTTCAGAAAGACGGTGAGGAGAAAGGACAGTGGTGGATGATCCAAAAGTGAGCTGCTTTGATTCTTGTATGAAGATGGCGGCTGCAGCCAGAGTCCACAGACAGAGGGCCCATCCCTGAATGGTGGGGTCCAGCCATTTTGAAAAATAAGCAACAGGGGCAAGGAAGGGCCATAGCCTGTGGCCTAGGATTCCCAGAGCAAACCCTTGATTTTCTGAGATGAACAGGAAGAAGGGGCGCATGAGATCAGGGAGATGGAGAGCAGGGGCTTGGAAAAGAGCT